GGTGCTGTCATCAACAAGCGATAACATCTATTTGAAAGTGGGAAAATTCTCTTTCTTTCTTCTGAAGATCTTGCTGCGTCAGCAACAGGTGTTAGCTCTTTGCCAATAGCTTTCCTATGGCTGATGAAATTCCCAAACTCTGCATGTAAACTTTGAGGGTCCACTGGAACATTTTCGGGAAACATTTTCGCACGATTATTTATTTTTTCGATGGAAGGTTCTTTCAATGGTGGTTGCAGAAAGAAAGAGGCTTTATTTCTCGTAGACATTGTGACAAGTTGAAACCAAATTGTTGTATCTGCACATCAAGAACCTTATAGAATTCTATTTTAAAGAATTGGACGATGGTCTTTGCCGTTTGCGTCTATGGATTCTCGTCAATTCTTCTTGGCTGCCTTTTCACACGATGCTTTCGCTGAAACTCTGCAAATGGGTGCTGTCCAAGTTTTTCAGTAAAGGAGATCCCTGCTTGAATCTGAGGCTCCATTTCATCGGCGTTTGCCCGGATCTCGCTAAGTCTTTTTACCGCGCATTTAACGATTATCATTGCATCAATGACGTTCAGTTCTTCTGATTGAAACCGTCATCTGTTTAGTTTTGTACATTATATTCTTCATGAACATGATTGACTCAATAAAGTCGACCGATTCCATTTTCAAACTAAGATTGTTTGCCTGTCTTCATGATTTGTCATCAAATTTACTTGAAGACGCGATTGTGTCAAGCGATTCTTTCACCTCTTCGTAGCTGATCCATAACGCGCGAATCGACTCTGCCCTTGCTGTCCATCTTGTTTTGGAGAGGTTTCGCAACTTTAGATCATGTTCAACACCTTCAACGCTTTTCTCGATTTCAACGTACCTGGAAGTTATTAACATAATGTATATAAAAAATCGAATGAAAATCGCATCGTGAAATAATACTTGAGAACATTGTCTTGTGAGCACCATTCTCTTTCGCTCATACAATGCTACAGTTCATGGCATCATATCTGTGCTTTAGAGAACGCTACAGAGCAAATTTTTCATTGAAAAGTTTTTCGTAGAATGAAAGCAAAAATATCACTTAAAAAACGAGAGCAAAAACAAGATATGAAAGCTCCGTTGATCTGCTGATCAAAATTTACTTCCTGATGAAAAGAGTAAAGTTTTTAAATGGAATATCTATGATGGCAAAGTAGCATAGCATTATCTAAATCTAAAAATGGATGCATGAGAGCTTGTAACATACTAAAAAACGAACCTTTTTGTACTGCTTGTAAAGAAAACGTAAAATTCTTCTAGCATATTAAACATATCCTTGGTGATGGGGCTGGCGTTGCAGCTATGTTCTAGAACAGTGCTGCTCCTGTGTGCTTGACATGGAATATACGGGACGACCTTGTTCAATCTTTCTTGCGGTTTCTGTTGAGCACCGTTGTATCTACCAGACATGGATGCGGCAAAATCGTAGGATTGAAAGCACAGCTCGTCCGTATTTAACGAGTGAATGATGTCCTTTGCTGTATCATCACCGGATTTGGGAGTCACGTGCTTCATGGCTAATAGTCGTTCCTTTGGTGTACCGTCTGTGCCAATTAATCTGCAAACCACGGTCATTTGGTTAGATTTTGATAGGTCTGGTTTAGTATCTGTGGAAACACTAAACATCCCAGCCTGTTTAATATCTAGAATAATTTCTTGTCTAACTTGATCTGCCAAGAGCGTTATCATCTCATTTTGAGATTCTGGAGCCATGTCCCTACTTACTGTAGTAATATATTGTCGTTTATTTTTCAGGATTGCAGTCAATTTTTTCGATTCTGTTGTTGAACATACTAAGAAAAGCGCACATTTTTAGACCTGAATTTACTAAAAAATTGCTGCTGACGAAGTTTTCTGGTGTATCATGTCTTGGTGTTTTTGTGTGCTACGGTGAGTTTTCATCGATACTTGTAGTCGCATGACAGTCTAACTCTTACTTGGTATTTACGAAAATACTTGCATTTGACGTAATAGGGCACTTTGATGCCAAGCAATGCTCGTCTTAGAAGATTATATCGGTACATTATAGACAAAACAGTGTAAAAATTCGCCTTTTTGAAAAATTCCGCCATTTTGAAATTTTCGGCAAATTTCAACATGCCCCAAGTCTTAATCTATTCCAACATGTGTCTTGGCAAGGAATCCGAAGAGAAAACCTTGACAGGAAAAAAGGCCTAATTTTTATAGCAAATGATTTGTCTATTATTGCAAAAGCTACCTACCGAAATTAAAGTGTCCCAATCACTACATATTTTAAAAAGAAACATTAATTCCATCGCGGGGGCCCCTTAGTTATGATAAACAACACCCTAATCTCAGAAAAAACATTTTGGGCTTTTGGTGCATCAGCCCTTGTCTTGCCTGAGCAATGACGCAATTTTATGGTCGGTGTTTGATTCCAGGGAAAAAACTGCCTCAGTTTTTTACCCCGACAATCAGACTGATACACCTGTCACACAATTGAATGACTGTGTGAGAAGAAGTGAGACAGGAGAAGGCAGAAGGAAGTATGTAACGGGGTATAGGCAGGAGGAGAAGCGAGTACAAGGGGACAGGGATGGGAGGGGAAAACGCGTACAAACAACGCGTGAGTCTTGCTGCAAAATATGACATGACCCTAGCTGCATCACTGTACTTAAAAAAATATGCCAGGAAAAGACCACCTAGAAAATACCACAAGGTGATTAGCAAATAGCTAAGGTAACATGATATCCACAGCCTACTAAGGATATACGTGTGGGACCACCCGATTCTAGAAAAGGGGAATCTGCGCACTTTCCCCGCGGGTATTAACTCGAATTAAACGATTAATTCCCATTTAAAGCTTTAGCAAATTTCGAGTGCTGCAGATTGTGTAAAACATTTATTCTACTTTTGTGCTTTTTATAAATTTTACTTAAAATATTTATATATTTACTTAAAATATTCATTGTAAATAGTTGGCTGAAATTAGCTTAATGCTAGATCTCGTTGGCAACTGTATATCAATTCTTTAATATAATTATTATTAATAATTGTTATCTATTATATTTGTTTTTATTATTATTATTATTTATTATTTATCATTATTAATCTCACGACGACTGGCGCGATTATAAACCCGCGCGATGGTTATTACAAAAACGCGCTTCGCAACAATCTCCTTCGCGGCGATCTGAGCTTATTTTTGTTTTGATCCCAAGGTATATACCCCAAAACTTTAACATTCTCGTTTTCCTGAATAACATGTAACGGAATGTTCTCTTGTCGTCAATGGAAATTTTTGGAGTTTCTTAAACGATTATAAAGCTATGCGTTGTAAAACATCTTGTTTCTTTCCTGGCAAATCACGGGGTGTCATATTATATGAGGAAAACAAAGTATCTGCGTATCAAATGTGTATAATTTCTAAAAAAAATTATTGCATAAGGACCAGTTAACAAAAATTATATTGTTAAAGTTGCTGAACGCAGTCTTGTGTGAAGCAGCATTACCTGCTTTTGAAACGCCAATATGGCAACTCTTTTTCAATCAGTTGGTCAGACACTGTAAAGAATACATCTTTACGTCACCTTTCCTTCGAATCGTTTTATGTCATACATCAATTTGCCAACTTTATAAAATGTTTCTCAAAAAGAATTCTATGTATGATTCAAAGAATTATTTTTTCTTCTACTCTTTTAGTAGCCATCTCCCTGCTTATGCTGCAATTTTCTTGCAATCCGTAATTCATAACATGCAATCTGAAAATTCTTGATCTTTCGTCCAAAAACCTTTATCCCTTACATGCATGTTAAATAGAAGTGGCTCAGTAACTGCTCCTTGTGAAACATCTTGATTGCAATTTCAAATAGTTACCATAAAATAGTATCAAATAGCATTATAATATTTGACATATTAATTAATATGCCAGGCCCGCTTTGCTATCAAAAACATTAGGTCCTCTAAATCTTTAGCTTATTGGGTGAACTGTTATTTATTATTGAGGAAACAATTGAACAAAAAGTAGTCAATAAACTTTAAGTTCTTTGTGAGGACAGGAAAGTCTCAACTCATGAGCATACGTGATTTTCTGCATTCATGGGCCAGATTGAGCTTCAAATTTCAATTCAATTCATTTGTAGACAGTCTAACCTGTAATTTAAACATTTTACTATTGCCAATGTGTGCTAGGCAATTACACTTTATATATCAATTATAACAATTTTCATGGTACAAATCAAGAATCAATAAAATATGACAATATATCTACTTTTAAGCAATCACTACTTTTAGATTGATTCACTTTTACATAAATCACTATTACATTGAATACAAAGATCAAGCATCTTGGATGCATTTCTAGAGTACAGTTAACATATAAGTGCTTAATGATGGCTAAACTTTGTTCACCATTTCAAGGGTTATTCTAAGATTAATATATTTCAAGTGTAGCTAAAACTATAAATGTCAGAAAAGTAAAAAAACTTCCTTCCCCTTGTTAGAACAAGTAATCAAGTAACTGCTTGACCATAGACACCAACTATGTGAGGGACTTGGGGGATTTAATGAGGGGGGTCAAGTGCCTCCTAGAAATTTTCTGAGAGAGGGCTAAGCAATTAACTAGGAATTGGCAACAAAAGAAAGGTGCTGTGAGTAGTTAAGATTATTGTTTAAAAGTATCTTATTTGCATGTTTACAAAACAATTGTTGAGGCCTAATTGCATCATTAAAAATGGAGATTGAGTGTAAACCCTGTTTATAAACATGTTCCTTATGTCCCCTACTCCAACTTCTTATGACATCTTTATGCAAAAGGGAGTCTGATTAATGTGATTAAAAACATAAATATCAAACATCTGACTTTTTCTAACACCAAACAACAGCAGATTTTATTGCATTCCCCTCCTTATTCAAGCTATGTGTTTATTATTTGCTCCTAATAGTGACACAACAGATATAAAAGTAAAAAGCATATACATTCACTACAAAAAATCTAAATCCTATGCCAAAAGTATCTTTCTCCAGTTTTAACAGCTTGAGCATTACTTTGACAATAAGTACTTTGAGAGCTGTGGTATATATAAGGCAAAATGGCTTACAGTTTCTATACCCATCCTCTAAAATTCTTTTAAACTACTATCTACAGCTCCTGTGAACACAGGTGAAAGGAGGCTGGGGTGGCTGAACCTTGATTGTTTAAAAAAATACAAAGACCTGGCGTGTAAAGCAATAATCTGTTTGATTTGGTGGCATAGCTTGACCATCCAAACTAAGGTGATTGAAGGTCCCTACTAGCAAAATTTGTCAACAAAGACATATAGGAAGAAAAACAGGGGTGCTTTTTCACTTACTCAGAGGTGGATTACAGATAGACTAAAGATTTTGTGGGCCACGGAAGATTTACCAACCAAACATTAGGAATTAGGTGGTGTCACACACCATACACCCTTTGATACCAAGGCACCTGGTTTCATTTGATTCAGATAACAATAAGCATTAAAGTATTCTAAAACTGTTACAAGCCAGTCAAAATGATCACTAATTGGGAAACTGCACGTGGAGGGGTCACCCTTTTCTAAAAAAAGTAATGAAGAAGTTTAAGATTGTTCTACCTCTCTCTACCTTTCACATTCTCCCTATGCCACAAACAATTTTTATCATTTATTGCTTCCTGTAACTTTTAGCACCATTGTCACATTGTAGTTGGTAACTATTTCATGAATCATTGGGGAAGGATGGCAGTATGAAAGACTATCTAATCATGATGCTAAACCTTACGGTTGCTACTTTTTGATGTTTTGATTTGATTAGACTTGTCTCTTTCTTGTCTTGGTGATTGGGATGATGTTGGTGTTGCTACTTTAACCTTAGAAGGGATTTGTTTCTTCTTTCCTTGACGGCTATTTGATTTGATAGAGTTTTTCAGGCTACCAGCATCTTTTTCAGCTTGTGTTAGTGCATCTATATGAAAAGCTTAACATTAAGAAAAGAACTATATATGGATCAAAGTTGATACAGGAAGACATGGTGAAACTGTGACACTATTGGGATGCTTTAGCAAAACAGGGAAATTTTAGGAGCTAAATATTTGCAAGGTCCCTACTAGCAAAATTTGTCAACAAAGACATATAGGAAGAAAAACAGGGGGTGCTTTTTCACTTACTCAGAAAAATGTCACTTTCAAATGCCTTGCCAAAATCCATGAATTATTTTCTAAGGAGCTCCTTTCAATGATATATATATAAGGCAGTTACTAAAAAACCCAATATCTAATTCAAATGAAGCAAAAACCTGTTGTTTCCTCATATAATTCTTACAACCAGCAAACAAACATCTTCTTTTACTGCCAATTTTTTTCTGACTCAAGGTTCAAGGATTGCTAAAAGGGGTCCTTGAATATTTGTCTTCATATAAATTTGTCACCAAAGATATACTGACATGGACCCCCTTTCACTGAAGGTAGGTCGAGGCCTACACCCATAAAAGGCGAGCTTTGACAATGTGTTTTGATTGACCTTACCATATTTTTCATTCTACAACTGTAAATTTTCTCTTTTTGCCCTTTGATAGATATGTTCTTATTGAATCTTGTGCCTAGTATGAATATCAAATAATGCGGAATCATTAGCAAGAAATGGACTTACCCAGAAATGCAGTTGTAGTAAACAATTCATTTATAAGAGGTGTGAGTTTGTAACTTTCCTGTCCTTCTCTTTCTAGATGTAAAAATACTCAAGTTAACAAACATCAAATTGAAAGAAAACTTGTATTTATAAAGAAATGGCAACAAGGGGTCAGAGTGTTGAATATCCTCTAAAATATTTTTAAGCTCCACAAATGTCTTTCTCTGGCTTCACAAATAACGTTAGCGTTAAACAACTGTTCAATTTTATATTGATTTACATATGGTCAACACTTAATGTGCTGATTTTAAGCAAGAACAAAGGGAATAATAAACTGTGAATGACAACTTCTTCTTAGTAATCAGGTGCTTATAATGAGCTAACTATGCATTATGATTGTCAGTGTCCTTGATCAAAATAGGACTAAAGAGCCCCCCCCCCCCCCCCACTATAAATTAATTTTTTGCACATTCACACCATCTGCACCTTGACATTGTGTCATCTCTTCTACTGAATCAAAATTTGGGTCATCGCTCAATTTTTTAATCCCTAGAAAAAAGTTTCAAAAACCATAATGCATATGTAAATTAATAGCTCTTAATAAAAATAACTTACTACTTACTTTCAACCTTTATCAGAATAAAGGAGTCTCTTTCCGATAGGAACTCATTTGCATATGACTCTGGATTTTCAAAAAGCTTCTTCATGTTCCCCTTTTCATCGCACAAATCTATTATAACTGAATAAGAATGGGAAAAATGACTGACTGACAGAAGCTTATCATTCATATTTAAATTACAAAATACATGACAAAATGCGATTTCAAAATAGAACAGGAAAAGTGGGAGTAAGGATTATCAGGCTTCAACCCCCAATAAACTGAGAGTCCGTGGATTGGGTCCCTGGCATGACCAAACTTAGAGTGAGGAGAGTTGCCAGCTCTCTGTAATTCCAGGCATAGGAATCAATAAGTGTGGTAACGTTCCATGGTCAAACAGAGGAAGAACCAGGAGATTGCTTGTTGAGCATGCAGTGTTTCCCTAAAAAACTACTTTCAGATAGCAACCACAAATACTTTACCCCATCATTGAATTACTTTCATTTTTTTACCAATCTTCTACTGCTCACTTCCCACCTAGTTGAAGAGTCCAATAGAGCAAACAAACTTCATCTGCATATAAATTTCTGCTTACATTTAGATATTATCTTACATTTATCACTTTATTCTTTCATATCACTGTCGTTCATAATCAATTTATTCCATTTGCAGGATTAAAAACAAACCAATTTCCACTAACCTCCTTTGTCACAGTTGCATTTAGTCTTTATACTTTCTAGAAGAACATTTATTCTGCATTTTGGATTGAAAAGCAATTCCTGTCCATCTAGAAAAATGATTCAGACATGTTAAATTGTTTGGGACATAAATCAACATGTAGGTGCTTGAAGCTTGCTTTGCTTTTTGGTCCATTAGCAGGATGCTTCGGGGCTATTTGTTAACCATCCAAAAAATACTGTTGTTGTCACCCTAGTGGTCTAATATTTTTCTTGGGATTTGCGAAGACATGCAGAGTTGTAGCTTGCAAGGGCACCACACGCCTTAGCATATACAAATTATTAATATCCACTCCCTTCCACAGTCAATTTTGTACAGTTACGCTTGAAATAGTTTTTCACCCAAATCTGTATTGACGTTGGTGGAGTCCGTGAAGAAAACAATAGTCCCTATTTTACCTATCTTCCAGTGTGATTTAAAATGGTCATTCATCACACGGCCTAACTTAACACAAGCAAATCTTTCCACCGTAACGCTTAATGGAAGAAAAAGGGAAACTTACCACCATATCGAACTGTTATGAACATGGTAAATTTATCTTCCTGGCATGGAAATTATGCAGCATGAACTGGCGATGTATCATTCCAAATGCATAACAACATCTTCCTATCACTTCTGGTCGGCAAATCTTTATGTTGTTGGTGTTGTTGCCACGAGACGGGAAAAGTTAGAGCCCCTTGCTGTCCAAAGTCGATGTACAGCGGCATATTGTTTTTAGGGGTTTTAAGATAGGAAAAGTTATACACTATTGTAATATACTGTGACAATTGAAAAATGTCAACATTAATATAAATAAATCTGTGTTTTTATGACATTAATAGTTGAGCAATTATACTAATCAGATTAAAATGATTTTGCCACCTATGGTTTTCAAGTGATATTATAAATGAAATATAAACTGTAATATTATGAAAAAAGAAGTCAATAGAGCCAACAAAAGCAAACAGCAATAAAAATTTACAGGGCAGCTACTTGCGTGGTAATTTGGTAGCTTTATAACAAAATCAAGAGACTATATTTCAGCTGATGGTGCTGGAGGGTTCTATGGATATTAAATCACGATTCAAAAAGTTTATTTCGAAGCTGATGGGACCCCTGTAAGTTTGCATCCCCTCGAATCAATGAGGAGTTTGTAGTGTAATTTCTAAAATTTGTATTTCAAAAACATTAAGGGAAAAAGTTTTTTTTGAAGGAAGAGGAAACATCAACTTTTCTTGAAAAGTCTCAAACTACTTTTGTCCGGGATTGTAGCTTCAGCCCCTCCCCCCGCCAAGAATGAAAATGTCGTCAAGGATATCAGAGTGTAAATATATTTCATATTTAAACAGCAAGCCATTTCTTTTTCCAAACATTATGTAAGCATGTCCTGCACTTGACAATATGATTTTCAATACTCTGCAATACGCGTGCTTTTATTCCTGAAAAATACCTTGATGGAAGTGCCCCCAAATATCTTCAAGCCAAGATTCACATTCTTTTTACCCATCATTATGAAGTTCATGTCCATGACAAACGGTTTTTGAGGAAGCAACGTCCTTGTTTGTACCCATGAAAAAGATACATTTTGGAAGAGTCACCGAATAAAGCCAAGATTCTTATACGATACCTTTTGGAAGAGTCCCCAAAATACCTTGATTACTTCCCTGACGTCGACTTGGACACAAACACTATTTCTATATCCAAGTGGTATAAAAGACCTTCACATTACCGCTAGTTATTTACAGTAATATAGCAGGGGCAACCAGGGGTCAGAGGCACTCTCCAGTCCTTTTTTCTTTCGGCAAATTTGCAACGGTCAGATCATTTGATCATGCAATCTATTTGAATCGGTGTCCTGCTGAAAATTTCAGACTAAAAACTTGCATATGCGCAAATTTTTCGCAAAACGATACTGTCAAGGTGAATTTTTTATTTTTAGATGAAAGATTCTTTTGTACCAATTACAGATAAATAAATAGTTAACGGGCAATAAAATGTATCCAATACACCCTAATCCACCACTGTAGCTTTTTATCCTCTTTGCAAGCAACATTTTCCCCAAAAAACACATAATAGAAGGAAACTTTTTAAAAGAGAATACCAGATATTATTTCTACCTCTTTCTGTTTTTAATAAAATTCATACATAAGACTCAATCCGAGAGGATAAAAGTTCTCCTTACTCCAAAAGTGTTTTTGACTAACATTTCATGGAAAACATTTCACTGAAGTATTTGACGGAAGTGTAACTATGACGTCATTCAAGTGATCTTGGTTGAATGTCCCGTAACCAATGTCAGTATTTTCTGAGAAGTTGCACAAGTGTTTTCTGTTATCAGATTGATAATACATCTCCTTTAATGGCAGACAAAATTATTTACCAATGTCTGCAGAGTTGGAAACAATCGGCATTCTGAAAAAAGGCAAAAAATTTTTGTCAAAATTTGAATAGATTCCTACTCATTTACATGTTTAGTGCAGGAATTATGTGTCTTAAAAATAGAAAATTGACACTAAATTGTTCACAAACATGTTATTTATCAAATAGGGTTGGCCGATTGATTGGAAAAAAGATGGCCTTAAAATGTACTTACTTTTAACAGAAACTTAATTTATTTGACCTTAGCAATGAGATGGTTTCAATTTCCGGTGAAATTGGTTTAAAATCTTTCGTGAAAAATGCACAAAATGAACTGTTATATTCAACAGTTCAGGATAACTTTTTGCAAAGAGTGCAAATTAAAAGTGCTTTATGAATAAAATTTGGGCAGAGTGTATCATCTGACAGCCCTTTGAAACACACGAGGAGGGAAGGATAACACTGACCTTGATCTGGTACACTGTCAGCAATCCTTTTCAAAAACAAATTACAAGCTTCTCTTGCAGGCTTAGCCCAGGAGGGTGGCTCTTGTGGGAAATCATGCAACTGTGGGAATTCTGTTGGCTGCACAATGTTTTTTGTTGAATCATAAAGTATGGAGAATACGAATCTCCTGTTAGGATCTTCGACATCAGTGAGCTGAAACTGCAAGAATAAATAACATGTGACTATCGATGTATAATATATAACAGAAGAATGACAGCCATGCGTAAAGGGAGAAATACCTGGGTTGGAAAGGGCCTAAGGATTTGGTTTGATCGATTTAATCAGCACTTTCCTCCAGTAACAAATAGGTGGAACATATAAAGTGTTGGCATTTTGGCAATGACTTTAGACGCTAACATGTTAATCGAATATGATAATAGGCCTGAATTGTGATGACATAGAAGGCCTACATTGAAAAGACATAGAAGAAAGGCCTTCAAGGAAATATCACAGAAGAAATAATTACATAGCAATGAAAAAAATTAAAGCCTGGTCTAAATTGGAATGTCTTGAACGTAAGACATGAATAGCAGCGGCATGGATGTGAGACCAACAAAGCAATTATATGTGAGACCTCCTACACACTCTTCTGATTCTCAACGAAGCCTCCTAAAATTTGATTCACTTCTTACACAACAGAAACGTACAAGCGTTGTACTTACGAAGAATAAGTTCTTTGTTTTTAGAACAACGGCGGGTGTGCCTGGGGCAGCAATGGACGCGACGATACAAGGTGGAGTCATGAATGACCACTCGATAAACCATCGTTGGTTTGGCTCTGGTTGCTGAAATTAGAATTTTAATTTCACCTTAAGCAAAACAAAAATAAAACAGGAGAAAATGACGGATGACTGATGGATGAGAGGGCAAAGTGTTGTTTGGACAAACTTAAGTAGTACCCAATAGAGTGAAAATTTCTAGGAATGGAAAGCTTGCTTTATTAAAAGATGACGCTATGATTCAGAAATATGATTATCTATGGAAAAGTTTCCATAAACTGCAACAGACGGTCTGCGGGATCGACTTTCTTTAATAAGGGACGAAATCAGGACTAGATTCACTGTTCATTCCTACACTAAATTGTCACACTTGGGTTCATCGAAAGATTAGCAATGACAAAATAGGCAGGAAGGGGGGTAAAACGTTTTCGTTCCTTTCAAGCACCTGTATTCAATTGTTGATCTCGATAAAAATTCAGGTCATATCATAAGCGACAATTACACTTAAGATAATTTAAAAACTAAATAAAAACTAACCATTTCGATTCGCATTATCTTGATAGCATCTTTAAGAATCCGAGGAGTCGCTCCCAGCAGCCTTGCAAACCCAGTAAGAATATTGAGTTTACAGGGTGCAACCACGACCTGAAAGAAAATAGACAGTCGTTTAAAGAAACTCTGGTCGCTTGGAAAGACTCTCTGAATAAGGATGTATCATAACGCGAAACAATTTTTCTTGGTTAAAAATCTGGAAATACGATTACTTAATGCTCCGGATCCAATTTGAAGAATCGACAAACATTCTTATCATGCCATAGCTTCTCTGAAATTCATAGGTCTCTCTAATGCCAGCGAGTGAAGAATAAAAGGAAAGCTTTCTTGTTAAAAGTTCAAATGTTGTTTCTGTAACTCGCTTACTTTGAACTTCCATTCGTCTAATTTCCTGAATCTTCCTGACTTTAATCAGGAAATTGAAGTGGCCAGCTTATAAACTCGTTTAAGAACATAGACGACCATGTGTGGGCATCATTTGCAATTAGAGACGATTTGTTTTTGATGGAAAAAATTGACATATTATAGTTTCAATCACAATAGCTCTTATACTGAGTCACAATATGCTTTCATTAATAGTCTCTCTTTTCAGTTAATTTTTGCGAACCATTTTAAAAGTCATCTTAAGTTGGGCAATTTTGCCTCAAAATACTGCATAATAAAGGGCCTTTGAATATACAGCTTCAATTAATAATATGAACTAATTTATACCTCGAAAAACTGTTTCAACACGCGCAACTCGTCCGGCGTCCAGAAGTTTTCTGTAATTTAAAAATTAATCACAAGTCAGATCCTTTTAAAAAAATACATTTCGGGCTACAATACGGGATGTCAGGTTCTTATCCCATTCACTTTATGCTCCACATAAATTACGCAACAAAAACAAAAAGGACCCGATTCCTTACTTGCTAGCTTATTCATATGAACGATTTGGATGCTAATGAAGTAAAGAATGAATTATAATAAATTAAATAATGCACTTTGAAATTGTTCAACTGCAGAAAAGCATATCATTGTTGATAACATGTGAAATTAGAAGAAATTGATTTAAAGATAGATTAACATCTCCAACAGGTGGAATGCTAAGACCTTTTATACCAGAAGAATTTTGGCAAAAACAGATTTCTGAGGAGATCACTAACCGAATCCTTGCTTAAGGCAAATGTTTAAGTGCAACGTCTCGAAATTTGATTGGTTGATACCAACTGTATACTGCAAGCCCGAATCTTGACTCCCGGAAAACACCAGAATGTCGAGCTTCTCAAGGTGGAGCTGAAAATTGAATAAAACATGCTTGAGAAAAGTTTAAATATGATACACCTAACTAGCATAATAGCAAAGGTGTTGAATTTTCAAATTGGCCTAATCTCGTTCTGCATCAAAATAACAAATACAGTCTATTTAAAGTCCTTATCTATTTAGTAATGGTCGTCAAAAATAAAAATCGCGGGCCTAATAGAAGAATTGAAAAAGGCTATATCAAGAAACGAAGCCAATTTTATAACCATCCCAATCAACAAGGTCATTTGAAAACTGTAGACCTAGAGATTTGCTGCTATCCAATTATAAAGTAACATAGAAAGGACATTTCTCTTTCACGAAGAAAACTTAATCGACAAATATCAAAATAAATTACCGTTTCATCTTTTCGAATAACTCTCTGAAGATGTTTTAAGAGGTATAAAGAATCAAAGAATCTCTGTAGGGGTGATGCCAAGTACTTTGCTTTTCGACCGGGGAAGTCTTGCTCCATGGGGGTGACGAGAAGGGCGAACGATGAAGAAGACAAAATCACTGGCGGCGATGGCGTCGAGGAACCACTTGCTGAACGAGACAACTGGTCACTACCTGCTGCTGTTCCAGGGACCACACTATAAGAACAGTATGATGATGTCACGAAAACTTTGGTACGAAATTTCAATTAATGTTTAATGTCTAAGGCATTAAGAAGTGGCGGATCTGGGGGGCGAGGGGGCGACCACCTCCCAATACTTTAGAGGAGAATGGTCTTTTGTTCTCAAGCAATGGGAAATGTGACGTCATCTCATTAAAACAATAAGCTTGCCACCCTCCCCCAAATGTTTGACTAAGTGCCCGCCCCTGCTTTTAAGATAAGCAAGTGTTAAAACGGTCATAATGGTATTTGTGTAACGAAGATACAAAGAAGGCACAGTGTTCCCTCAAAAATACTTACTTCTCAGAGTAATTTATGATGAGATGGGACAACGTCTTGCTTTCAGTTTATTCAAATTTCCTCTTGGAGAAGGAACCTGGCTAGGTAGGTTCAGACGAGTAATAGAGGAAGGAATCGTAATGGGGTTGGAGAGGGGTTATGTCCGGCAAGACAGCAGAAAATGGCAAATGCACACCCAAGATATTTTTCTAAGTTGTCCCTGCACTGCTGGTAAAGGGTGTGGCATTATGAGATTTTGGAGTGAGATGGATGTGTCCTATTATTTCATCGGGCAAATGAAGAATTAAATTTCCATAAGATCGACATAATCTTGCATTAGTTGGATAACACAATAACTATCAATAATGTACATTTTGTTTATACTTGTTCGTTTTTGATTCTTAAATGATATCCTTGGGTTGTATGTTTGTAGGTGCTTACTTGTGCGGTGGTCAGGGTTCCAAATCAGCTGTTAATTCGCAAATTTAGAGTAAATCAAACTGATTGTAATTTGATATAAGAAAATAAAGAATAAATTGTCTCGTTAGATCTGTAGGTCGCCAATTGTTCGCTCTTTTCTCCTTCAGCATTCCATGGGGGGCTAGCTCAGATGGTAGAGCGCTCGCTTAGCATGCGAGAGGTACCGGGATCGATGCCCGGGTCCTCCACTTCTTTGCTTTTTAAAAGTAAAATGAATTTACAATGAAACCAGATAAGTTTCATAATAATGTTCCAACCTTGTAAGCTTGCAAGGTTTCACTACCACCCCATTATAATATCAATGGGCGCAGTGACTTTATTGGCAGATCTATGTTTTCATCAGGGGTAAATCAACAATATACAATTTATGACAAACAAACAAAATCTAACAAGAAGAAGCTTGCACTTTTTCAAATCAGTACATTTCCAGTGTTAAAGAAGAATGGCAAAAAATCCTTTAATATAAGATAACTTTTTGCGACTAAGAGTTAAATAGTTAACTCTGTGCGGCTGAGAATTAAATATTGAAAGTTCATACGATGAAAAGAAATTGAACATACTTTTTCTTCCTATTTAAAATATATATATTTATATCAATAAAAAGGATTTTATTTCAAAATAAACGTAAACGCGGAAACAACATTCCAGTTTTTGACATATTCGACATCAGTGCCCATGGCACCAATCAATTTTTAATACCAGACTTGACTGAAGACCAGACTTTGACATGCTTAGCAAGACTGGATTTCTTGTAAAAGCTTGTTTCTGACTTTATACATTCAATATTAAAATGACCGCTATATTTCTACAAATACGCCTCCCATTGACCCAATCTTACCTTGATTTGGTGTACAGTGGGGATCCCTGAGAAACTTGAGGCGAATGGGGCCAAGAGGCAGGTGACGTCATAGATGCCGAATTCGCGGGTGCGGGTGATGGTTGAATAAAGCCTATAAACATAAAACCGGGAACACTTTATGGATTGTGTAAGCTGAAAACAAAGTACTGATGTTTGGAGAAGCTAACACTTTAAAATAAAGTTTTCTAATAGGGATTAGGTTATGAAATTTGCCTTCACACAAGCTGAGCTAATTTTTCTCTGGTAAAAACTTTTTTTTGTAACTAGCTGCAAATGTATTAAAAAAAGTATCAAAATACACAATATTGCCATCAAACAATAACTCTTGCAGTAAAAACCCATCCTCTCAGTATTACACCAACTAAGCGACTGTTTGTATACAAATACTTTGATAAAATGTTGATTTAAAACATAAAACTTTGTAAACGTTAAATTCGATTGAAGAAAATGTAGGCCTAAGTGTCAAATTATTGGACAATAGTTAAGTTTTAGCTGCCAACTATGAATAACCCAAGAAGAGATCTCGGTCCAAATGCGAGCGAGGTGGCGGGAAAACCGTCAAAGTTGCTAGTTTCCAGGCTTCGAATTCGTCAGCATCGGGCTTTCTGAAAACTCCACACGTGTTGATGTTTTGAAAAGTCGGTAAATTGTTTCTCAAATAGGATAAAACTACATCTACTGAAAATGGACAGGAATGAAAGACAACTGGTAAGTTCTAAATATGTTTCTTTGCTTTAAATTTGCTTTCAGTAAAGACTATTCAGATGCGGTTTTATTTTTATCTTTATGAAAATCACTAAATACTGTGTCTGGTTGAAATTGATTTCCAAATACCGACATGCGAAAGTATTCTTAATACTTTGATAAATAAAGTATTACTCAGTCAAAAGTGTTTTTCCGCAGTTTTTACGAAAAAATCCACACAAAACATTCATAAAAATCAGTCTGCACAACTGGCCTGTGCCCAACCTGGTGAGGTCTTAAAATTTTTCGCCATCAACGTTCAATTTTTGTAAGCCAGTTAATTCAATCCTTCCAGTGTTCCATTTAACGTGGCCCATTCAGCCTGGCGCAATACCCCACAGAAAACAGAGACAAGGAAGCAGAATGGGACATTTTGCTAGCTTGCATTAGAAAGCAACATATTTTCGAAGGGTGCACGGTCCGAGACATGGTCTTGTGGCTATCCACAATCACTGTGAATTTGACTGAATACCGCCATGTTCTACACGTCAACGCATATACAGCGTAGTTTTTTTGACTTGCACACAAAAACATAATTTGACAATCTCTTGCAAGTACCGCATCGTATAGGCCCTATACTAGTCTATAAAGGGTTTAGTTACAGTTTGTCTGTAGCTAAAAGTTGATCGAAAATGTCACCAAAATACATATTTTGCTTTTAAATAATAACTCGAGGCACGTGTTCCTACCTGGTGATGATCCTGTGTACCGATTGGCCGGACTGAGTGACGATAGTTGACCGGAATACGGACCGGCTGATGTTGACCCTGCCGTACCAAGCGAAGTTGGAGAGGAAAACGCTGGAGAACGCATAGATGCACTTAAAGACTGACTCGGAGATCCATGCATTTGCTGGTAACCTATGGCGGGAAAGTCATAACGAAAATTCAATAAGATGTGTTCGAAATCACCAGAAAAGTTAATTCATTCATTTTTGCGACAGGCACAAAAATATATACAAAATTTTCACTTACTTTATGCATAACGTAAATTATCTTTTTAGCCCCCCTCTAAATTAAGCCCCCTCTCTCTTATTAGCCCCCCTTCTTTAGAAGGAAAATTGAATCAGCCCCCCTCTCAATTTAGCCCCTCAACTTGACCAAAACAGAGATTTTCATTTCATTCATTGGTCGTTCAATTCTTCGCATTAAATCAAAATTCACACTATGAATTAATAATTATTGACGATGACGATGACAATATTATTGATATAGAAGGCTGCTTTGATGCTTTTTATTTCGCAAATAACAAAAAATTTTACCACTATCAATTGTTTTTTTAATTACAAAATATTTATTAAGCCCCCTCTCTCAATTTAGCCCCCCTCTCTTATTAGCCCCTTTAAAGTGCTGGAAAACAATAAGCCCCCCCCCCCGGGTGGCTAAAAAGAGAAATCACGGTATTCCATATTTAGCTCTTCAAAAAAGGTAGAAAATCACGACTATGGTAAATCCGCAAGCAATTTTTTAATTATGAATGAGGTATCCAGATATCTGGCAGTGTGCCAGGGACAAGATAATAGATAAGCAAAGGCTCAGGAGCGCAACAATTTCGGTTGACGGACGACAGACGTGGGAGGGGTGGGGGTGATTTTCTGGCATATTGAATTTCAGGGGACCTCCAGTCCTACTGATCAAGTAGATCTACTGATCTGCAAATGGTGAAATCGTATCTTGGAAAACAACTGAAAGGGGGGGGGGGGGGGTGGTTACGATTTCGGGGATGTTTTAGATGCTACGACCCTGTGTTTTTAAGTATTTACCATCTCGCTGGGATATGTCCAAATCGAATGAGGTCTGATTGGCACTGAACTCAGGAATATCAGCGAATCGATGAAGAAACACCTGTAAAAAAGACATGTCATAAATTAGATCGGTTTTGCAGCTACAATTTGTTGCTTTAGAATGAGGGGCCCCAGCAGATGGTTGTAGATACAAGAATAGAAACATTATATTTACAATCAACCATAAATCTAATAGGGTACTTCCTACGAAGACAGTTTTATGTAAATAAAGAAAAAGAGCAAATGCGATTCATGATTTAGAAATATTATACATCAAACTCAAACCATGAAAAGAGTGTATCCATGTTTGTATCTGTTTCTCCGAGAGATTACCACCGTCATATTTCGTTTGCATTATAACCTAAGATTGCCATCCACGCTTAATTTATGTTTCAGTGTCTGCATAAATGAAACCTTAAGTCCAGTTTGTATAAGTGGCACCCATTGTGTTTTGTTTATCGCTCGCAGGTAACTGTGCAGTACTTTGTGTAAGCATCATAAACACAAAAACTTAAATTAATTCGTTTATCAAATCCTTCTGCATTAAAAAATCAGTAGGGCATTAGCCATAACGACACAGTATGACAGTCAACTGTCTTGGAATAATTATTACAAAATTAGATCCTTGATACACTTTTACAAATACCGGGGACATTTCTACAAAGATCACCAGCCTGGCAAATAAAACACTGCAAATCAAGCTCATTGTACACGCATTGCTGACAGAGTAAAATATACCCTGTCCCAAATAATAAATGATATCTACTCTTTTAGAAATAAGAACCAATGCCAAAACACTCACAGTTAAATTTTCTGCAGGAACAATACCGTTAAGTTGTTTACTTGGATCTTGATCGGAGCAAAAGCTTCCATCTGAAAATCAAGCAATACCGAGGTTCATATTCAACATCTAAACAAGGAAACGCTTCTAAAGTCAGCGCAAATTTAGACAGTGCCTTCCGTCAACTTTCAATGAGAAGTGATGTGCTCAAATTCAAAATGCTTTCATTCATGTGAGTAATTCAACGCTATACATAGATTTACAAATATAGTAGAGAAGTAACGTATTTTGAAAGTGAATATTTCGTACCTCTCACTGTGATACTGTCGCCCAAGAGATTGACATCAATAGCATGTCTTACAACGGTTAAGAAAATCATGAACAAATTTCGATCAGTAGGACTTGAGAATTGGCAGAGGATAAAACTGCATTGGCTATAAGTTTAGCGTATTTGAGGGCCTGGGAGTTAATTGCGCACGACGAAGGAGCAAGCATACAATCCCGAGGTTCAACAAGTTCATAGTTTGCCATCCGTACGTGAGCTGTGCGTAATCATTACGATGATTCAAACGACACCAAAAGCTCATATGGTAGTTGATTTCACAGTTATATTAAAATGCCAATAGCAGATTTTGAGATAACGTGGAACTCCTTTATCATATATCATAACATACAGTGCACTTTGATGACAAGAATAAGGTCAAGTATTTAAAAAAAGATTAATCTGCACATTGAATAATACCAGGACAGCAACTTCCAGTATTCTGATATGTCTCGTTAAATATGGAGATAAATACAAAAACACAACACTGCATTGGAAACTAAGAACAATATCTATTTGTATAGTGAATATTCCATTGGTATCAACAATAAAGTAACGTTGAAATAAATGAGGAAAGTATAGCATCAGGGCAAATGTTGAAAATGTTGAATAAATGAGGATGGCTGAGGATGGCTATAACAAAATGTTGAATAAATGAGGATGGCTGTAAGGAAAAACAGCGAAAACATTGATGATAGAGAAAGGAGCAAGGATACGTCTTTTTGTAGAAGATTCGAATATGTGTCGAAGATTGGGTGACAATCGAAAAGTTCTGCATTGGCAGTAGAGGCCGCTGCAACGAAAAACCAGTTTAGCTTAAATTTTATTCATATAATTACAACTACCAAAACAAATGAAATAAGTGAAAAAGATCCTAAAATAGTAAGATTTGCGGTCTAATAGATTGATCAATTTGGTTGATCAATATTATGGAAAAACACTCAAAGTAAAATTAAGGTAATTTACGGACAATTTTCAATTGATATTACAAGAGACCGATATTGACCAACTATAAGGTAAATTCAACTGAAAACTGGTCAATATCGGTCTTCTTTTTATCAACGAGACCTGCTACGTGAAAGTTCAATATGACATTACTCTTCTATAGGAAAAGTACGGATTATCGTTGAGTTGACAGTTCCAGTACGATAAACAACTGATTATAAGGAATATTACCGTAGTTGTCCCAAGCATGGGCGTTGTAGGTATTTTGCTAATAGCATGGAGAGGTGGTAGTGTTTTGACGATTACCTACAACAAGAAAAAACAGAGATAATTATTTTCTGTTCGTCGACCATTAGCACAAAAAAGGCACGACGCTTTGGAAGAGGTCAAAACATTTTTTCTAAAGGATCAATATAGTCATATCTGTTGTTTACATGCAACATCTAACGTAAAATCATCTCTTGTGAAAAGTTTTCATAGTTAAATTTCTGAATTTTTCAATAATAAAATGTCTTACATAGAGTAGATACGGTAAATTTTTGTATTTATTGAACTCTCGCGTAAGCTCTCGCTCAACTAGTTGATGAGGATTAGATTCTGGGGTCTTGCTAGTAATTCCAAAATGCAGCACGAATTCTTCCTTTTCAGAACTCCAGGCTATAGAAACCTGCAACACAAGGAACAAGAACATTTCACAAAAAAAGATGCAGTACGCTCTAAGTGATTCTGATCTTAGAATCATGAAAATGAATTAGGGGGATTAAAAAATAACACACCTCTGTCAATGTAGTATTCACAAAAAAGGCGGGTTAGGTTTAGAACTGAGAAACCGGACTGCAGTGAGCCGATTGGAACACATAACAATACTCGATTGTATAGCTTACCCAATGAGAATTTAGGTGACAACTAAAATTGCTCGGGACATAGTGCATTTTATCAGAGGATCGCGTCTTTATGTCAATCAAATACAAGGACAATAAAAGAAGCGGAATGGAAACTAAAATTTACCAAAATTAGTTACGTTACCAAAAGTACGTTCTTTAGAGCAGTATAACTTCAACAACGAGAACTGAATTCCTTAACTTGAAACTATCAAGATATTTCAACTTTCTTGAGCTGACAGAGCCTCAAAATATTCACAGCAGGACTGAACAACTAAAAGGGGATGTGATGGGGGTAGTCAGAAGACACCTTCAGTGCTCTGGTTCAAGGCCAGTTTCCTTTCCCACATTCTAGCTTCAATGCGTGAACTTTTTTAGACTGAAATATCTAGTCTAAAAAGTACAATTTTACAAGAACAAGATTACAAAGACGATGCCAATGGGATCATGATAGTTACGGCTACCCATCGCCCTTAACAAAAAACAATACTGTAGCACTAAAGGCTATACCAAAATCCTGTTTAGGACGTACATAGGGGATGGCTGGTTGAATCAAAAGGCAAAGGGGCTTCTGAAAAATTCTCGATACTAGTAGCCCGTCTCTGTGTACTATAAAAAATTACACGAAGTAGAGGCAATCGTTTAGTGAGACAATTGTCTTACTCCGTCAAATAGAAGATTAGCTTCACAAATCAAACAACTAACCAAAGGTCAAGAGAAATCTTATCTTCAAAGATATGGAAGGCTTTCAAAGATAATTTTTTCCGAATGATTCTTTTCCGCGTTATTTTTAGCCGAAAGCTACCAATTAAAAATGAGGCCAAAATCAGAAAGCAATTACCTTGTAATTACGTGTTTTACCATACGAAACAATAAGTGTCTGAAAGTCAAAACTTTCCACTGTTATGACATCGTGTAGTTCTCCTCTCTTGTCTAGCAATGAAAATCAAAGTAACATGAAGTATTTTGTAGTTTGTAGGTAGGGATGCCCCTGTTTGGCAGAAGCCATAATATATATGTGCCATTACTCAAAACTGCGTACAAATGTATGTTCAAGAGTCACAGTTGAACCTTACACGACAAGAAATAGCTAGTAAAGGGCGTGATTTTCGCAGGAAATAATTAAATACCAAACCAGGTCTGTTTAATTGCATTTATAGAAAATTCTTATTCAACATAAATTGCCAACTACATAGCTGGATATCGAACTTTGCCAGCTTCTAGTCGGATTTAACCTTTCATACACGTTTCCCCCCTTTCCAGGCTACCTTTCAAATTCTACAGTCACTGATAGAGTCGAGGGATAATTTCCCTTGGTAGGATGAAACACAGTCACTGATATAGTCGAGGGATAATTTCCCTTGGTAGGATAAAACACATTCTACAGTCACTGATATAGTTGAGGGATAATTTCCCTTGGTAGGATAAAACACATTTTACAGTCACTGATATAGTCGAGGGATAATTTCCCTTGGTAGGATAAAACACATTCTACAGTCACTGATATAGTCGGGGGATAATTTCCCTTGGTAGGATAAAACACATTCTACAGTCACTGATATAGTTGAGGGATAACTTCCCTTAGTAGGATAAAACAGCGAAAAAATACCTTCGAGATATTCCCTTATGATCAAGGAATGCTCGTACATAACCAACAGAGATTTCCAATCTTTTCTTATTCTGTCAGTGATTGATTGCTTAGCAGGCTCTCCAAGGTCCGTATCTGTTCTTTCATATATGAATTCCGAGCTAACACAAAATTTCGCTCGGTCCGCTTCGCAGATCCTGCATATATCAAAAGGTGAAATGTATGTGAGAAAAACACCAATTTTATCGAGGTACTTCATGGAAACCCTTTCCTAGGTAAAAAGAAGGGGGCGAGAAAAAGAAATAGGAATGTGAATGTAAAGGAGAAGATTGAGGGAAAAGAAAGGAAAAGATGCACGGAAAAGCTACAAAGACAGAGTTTTATTTAAACTTTGCTTCACATTAAGGCAATGTGTTTCCCGCTGGTTGAATATCAGTAGGTTTCAAGGTATGTAATTTTGGACCAGCATTTAGTAAGCTTTGGCCTTGAACGGTACGATTCTATCAAGCCTTGTATTTTATTTTATATCATGGTTTTAGGTAAGATTTAATATCAACCCTGAGATTCTATTGCCTTCTGCAGTCAACGAGTTATTGACAGCATTTAATGTTACGGTTACGGTAAACGTTATTTCGATGAAAACAAATGATGTATAGTTTAATCTGATTCCGTTAATAGTTTGGCTTTTAGGGAGAGAAAACCAATTATCGTATCAAAAACGTTTACCGTTACCTTAAGGGCAAATTGTCGTTTTGCAGAACTGAACTATGAAACTAAAAATGTTTATAAAACTCGAAACGCAAAACCATATAGCCTGTTTCCTATTTTAATTAAAACAGCTCTTCATACTATAGAGCATGAGCAGCGAAAGCAAAAGCAATAAAAACCATCCACCTTCTGAATGGGCTTTTCGAGAATCGATATTCGACGACCCAGGAGAACATTGACTCGTGAAGACGCATTGAGCATACCAACAGTAGTTTTCGCAAGGCTGCCATTTGCTTTGGACTGGCATCTTCTATGTCGGGAAGTTCTAGTATTCGTATGAATGGTTCTGAATGCATGTCGGATAGTACATTCTGAAAGGGGATTCCGGCACGTGAAAGCTGTAACACAAGAAAAACAAGTCAAAGGTCAAAACAAGAATTAGACAAGAATCTTACAATAAAAAATTAGCCTATTATGGAAAAAGCTATAGAGTTTTAAAGTGTGATGTTTCAAAAGCTATTTTTAGAATTTTTGAATTCTGACCACATAAAATAAAAGTTCATGAAATACTCTTAGATATTCAAAATCAGGTCAATGCATCAAAAACAGGATGAGATATGGCCAATAAAAGTTTAAAAATCAGCCAACGGATCACTTTAATTTTGGCTCTTCATAAAGTTATGAAATATTTTCTAATGAAATATTTTCTGCACTATAAAAATATTTTCAAAAGAAGTTATGGGATAAGATAACCAATTTCGTTGATGGAGGTTATGACTGGGGCGAGTGGGTGTCGAGGAGAGCCTTTGGCTATTGTCTTCCTATTGATAATTACAGTTTTTCTCCCTAACCGTTTGCCCGGTGTGTACCATTGCATCAAATTTGCTCCTGTCTTATTTCTCCTCTCCATTTTTAGTTTTCTTGCGTCATAACATGGAAGAGGTTTTACAGCTACCCATCGTTCATAAACAAATCAGACAGATTTTGAAGGTATGACTTATTAATTCTTTTCAGATCTACATAAAAAAGGTTATGCGGTGACTGGAGACATTTCTCAGAGCGAAATTAGTCATGGCAACTGATGAGGTAGGAGCTTGACATTTTTTGTACCAACTTCAACGCCAGTCGCGATAATATTTGAAAACCAAGTAGTAATGTGTAATTTCTTACGGATTTTGTGGTCTCCCATACACGTTCGATACCGCAAAGGTATATTAATGTTTACCTCTTTACTGACATGGATGTAGGGAATCCGAATATGACAAGTTGAAACCATGGAGACCAACTGTTGCTTGCTTGCGCAGCATGGACCAATCGATTCGTCGACCCCTGCGCATTTCTTCTGTCCTTTAACAATCGTTTCATCACCAATAGCCTTTAAAGAAATAAAACAATAAAATAGCACGTTGCATGAAAGAAGTATAAAAACAGGAACCTGTTTTAAATTTCATTAGACGAGGGATTTCTAAAAAAGATCTTGCCTCCATCGGATCTACACTGTCACTGTGTCTGTTAAAGTACAAAAATTTTGTGCAAAGGTGGCACATACGAATAAACTATCAACACAAAACCTGGTCAGTCAGTGCCATCTGGAACCTCGAAATTGCAAAAATAACTGATGGCTATCACCTACCTTCCGTTTTCGTGGTGGCTCTGAAGATGACCCTGGGAGTAAAAAGGGCTTGATTTTAACGCAAAGTATTTGAACACAGGAACCAGTCACTTAAAGATTTTTTCAAATTACGTTTCTTCAAAAGATAGCATATCTATTCATTTTAACAATTCAATCTATGATAAAATTAATGTCAGCTGGACCAAAAAAGTATAGCAGTAAAATATTACACAAGAAAATTATTCAACTGAGAAACAAATCTTCAACATTATCTATGCGAAAAGTTTACAACATCCATCAACAAACAATGGTTAGGCCTGCTGCAATCAAGTCTAATCTAGTGCTTTCAAACCAGCCTTAACTCTTGGTTCATCATATTAGAGAGTATATCTTCAAGTTCAAATGTTTGACTGGGTACATATGACCAGTAAGCTTATTCTAGCTGGTACTGAGCCAAAGCTTTAAGTATTGTGTAAAAATAGTGGTAAGCATAACGAACAGATTATATGTTACCTGACTCTAAGCTACTGGTATCTGCAAATGCATCCGGGTTCATTTGTACCATACTCTCTGGGTTTGAAAACAAGAGCTGCCTTGACTGGGTTTCCACCTTATCCGGACGCGGTTTCAATTTCTGTTCAGACTCTGATGTAGATGTTGTTCGTTTCCTATGCATAGAGTGGTCAGATGTGGTCGTTGACAGAAGGTGGTAGCTATCTTTTAAGGGGCAACAGTCATGCTTGGTGTCAGCAATCACATCTATCATCTGAATCAATAAGAATCGCATTTTTAATAATTTACAATTTTAGCTTGTCTCTGTTCTAGTCGCTTGAGTCTTACAATATATAAAAAAATATCTCATCTTTATACTCTAACCCCAAAGAAAGTCCAATTATTTCATGTTTTGATTGTATATATTCCACTTGCAATCGCATGTTTAGAATGCTATCAATTTTTTATTTCGGGTAGATAGATAACCAAAAAAGGCTTTAACATATAAAATACATTTAAAATTTTGATGTTGTCGATGTATCAAGTATCAACAGTCTATAAATTCTGAAACTTTCAAATGATACTTCATCTTTATAGAATTAAAAACAAGTTGGTAGAGGCGTTACAATGCAATATTAGTTCATATTTGCTTGTTATTAGTGGCTCATTTACTTTTTCTTGGACTTTCTGAATCGCATTTTATTTCGACTCAATCGGCAATCCCTCCTGGTCTGAATACTTTTCGTAACGCTTCTCTTTCTTTAAATTTTGCAATCAGTCAACAAAAGTTTTTTCGCGGATTTCCAAATGGACATTCTTGTATGTGGTGTTTAGTGGAAATTCGCAACAGGCTCTTTAAAAATTTTACAAACATTTAAGAACTTAAGCATAAGTTATTCGAATAATTCGGTAAAAATCATTTTAACTTGATTCAACGAGGTGTAGAAAGCAAAACATGAAAAATACAAAATACAGTTCAGTGAAATTACCAGGGCATAATTCTGATGTTTATTGAAACGCAAAAATAGACGGCTTGTGAACGGCAAATAAAAACATGGAGTGACGGGTAACGACGAGACGTTGCTTGCACATTTAGCCAGGAAGATATAACACCTGAAATAAGAGAAATATGTACATAAATTGTGTGTGAATAAATCAATTTGCTTTGAAAGATTTATATAAAATAATTGTTTCTGTTAAATATAGTTGTTAAGTTATCAAAAAGAGAGTCACTTATAAATGCATTGCTACAATCCCTAACAGAACATTTAGAACAAATTGTTACTTCTTTTGAAAAAATCAGCTGTGAAATATTGTCTACTGAGAATGTGTGTAGCAAGCGTGGTGTAGCCAGTCTTTTGGCAGGGATTGTACTTCACCAGAATTTTTCTTCAGCCATAGTCTCCTTTCACTACACCCCACCCTACATGATGTCACTATGACCACCTTTCTACTTTTTTCTGCTCCCAATACTCCAACTCAATTCTGTCGATGGCACATAGAGTAAATATGATTTCGCTGGTAGCAAAAATAAAAAATTGCACATAATGCTCTTAATCAATTTGTCCTACTTCCAACGCAATATCGTTTTAATTCTCACACTTTCAATATCAGAAGGCATAAATATAAACATCCTCCAGTTATGAGCACAGAAATGTATCAATTCACCTTAGACTATGGAACGCAGCTTTGAATTCCTTTATGTCAGTGCTTAATGATTTGAGAAGATCGTGCTTCTTGATTACATCTTCAATAAAAAAAGTGCATCATAAAAGGTGTGTTAAAAAGAAAACTGTTTAAAGAATCAAACTCCTCAAATTCTCATAATCATAACGAAAGTGAAGCAGGGTGCGATCCAAAAAATATTGTTCTTATTAATGCCTTTTCACACGTAGCTGGATAAAAGCTACAATCATAGACAGATTATGCTGAGATTTTGATCCACAATGCCCCCCCTCCCCCCCCGAGTTCAATGTTGATACCTTTGCTTTTTAAACATTACCTTCCAACACTGAATAGGGGTGGAGGGGGGATGTTTTTCAGGCCAGATTCTGTCAAACAGTAGACAGCCTAACCAATGCCCAAAATATCTCTTGCTGGTAATGTTAAAGCGACGGCAGTACATTAAAACTTTGTGACGCTTTGTAAATCATTCAAATTTCTAACAATCCAGAACAACTCAAAACTTCAGGTAGTGTAAAGTCTTAGAAAAATGAAGAGCTTCTAGCATCGTAAAGACTTATGAGCACAATTAAACTAAATTAAACTAGGTGTAAACGATATAAAAAATTACGTCTTTTGCATAATACCATCAGAATTTCCATTAGCTCAATTCTAGTGAATCTGCTATAATGCGATTTTCGAATCGAAAAAGTTCTTCGGGAAACACAGATTAATGCGGGTAATCCCGCAGTTTAAATCAATATATATGTACAAAGACGATATTTACTAATATGTCAAAAGATATTGAGAAGTGCTTTATGTAAAATAACGCCATGCTTGCGAAAGTTATATCTCTTGTGTGAAAGAAAAAGGCACGCACCTTTCACGCGTTCATCAATCCTCATTTTGATTTTCCCTGTCCGGGAATCGATGCTAATGATGATGTACTCCGATGGCGTGCAGTCATCGAATGGTCGAATAGAAATCGATGGAATTTGGTCATCAAAGACAGCTTATGAAAAACAAACGAAATGATGAAAATATTTGTCTCCTTAAACTGCAGAATACTAAATATCAAAATAATCTGAATATTTTGATAGAAATTTGAAAACTAGCTGAAACTTCAACTAAAAGCATCTTAAATGAATACCATGGCACGGGAGCAACATATTCCACGTTTTTTTCAAACTTCAACGATAAAAATTTTCGCCAATATTTTCATATGAAACGTTGAAGTTATGAGCTCAGTTGCGTAATACTCCTTTAAAGATTATTTCACTGAGAAGTCAAGCCTTTTTAATAGCCGCTTACAAAAACCGTGCTATACCATACGACTTTTAAGACAAAACCGTGAGCTTAAGTCTAAGTCTATCTACTGGTCACCATAACAGAAATTGGTCTTATCTATTTTGGCTCATATAGAGACTTGAGGTTTGTTTACTTCGAACTAAAATACTTGAAACCGACAAGAATATGGGAATCTTTGATTTCAATGGCCTGCATATGGCGAAGGTTGCAAGAAATTTCTTTTTTGAACTAAAAAGTTTGTGCTGTGGCATGTGACAACTATAGGAAGAAATATACAGAAGAATGCATTATAATATATTACCATATTTTTTGAAGTATGGATCCTGTTGCAATTTGTTTGTTAAAGCCTGCAAAATGTTTGAAAATATTAAGAAACCATGAAGACGATTTTTGAAAAATGGCAAAATGGGAAGGTTCGTTAAAGAACCTAAGTACAACAACAAACAGAGTTTGGTGACAAACCTTGTTTCATCAACAACCGAGAGGAAACGCTGCAGATGGTGGTTATTTTCTAAACCACTGTGTTCTCTTAAAACTGTTATCCTACTAGTCGCTATAGCCAGATTTAGTTCACGTATGATCCTAACAGACAACTTACAAAAACAGCTACATATCGTGTATTAATACGCTTTAAAATTGCGCAAAAACAAAATACTGCAAGTGATGAACTTGTAATGACGAAAACAGTTTTCGGGTAGCATGGCGAAGAAGTTTATTGTAATATTTAAAGTTGGATATTTAATAGATGATATTTAAGATTTGTTTTGCTATTGTCGTTAAGAAAAGTAGTAGTACACAGTTAAAGATTCATTTAAATGATCCAACTACCTTTAATTTGAACTTCGAGCGCTCCAGGATAGCAAGCGTAAGAATATTCTCCATGGCCACACAGCTTGGCTACCAGGTGAAAAAGAATTAAATTCAAAACTAAAATTCATACACCATATTCTGTGTTATCCATAAACTATGTTATAAGTTCCTTCATCCTTCCTTTACTTCTATTCTATCCAAAACTCCAAAACAATCAAATCTTTCTTATACTTTGCTTTCATTGCCAAGTTCAATTTTATTGTTCTCAAGAGCATTGTATCAATGATTGAGATAAGCTTCCATTAGTTGATATTTTGGGAAGTTAAGTGCCTTCGATGACACCAAAGATGTTTTGCTGTGAAGAAAAATTTAGATCACCTGCAACATGTCTTCAATTAAAAACAACTTTTAGTTACATGCATTGCAGTGTTTGATTCTGAAGACTAATTTTCATTTTGGCTTCAATCTGATATTGCTAAAAGAGGCTGTCGAGTCTCTAAGACTCGTGCGTACTTCTTTTCCATTCAATCTGATGTCTTAAATGTTGCTTTCTTTGGGTTTTGTGAACATCTGGTCTGTTGATTTCTAGTATCAAATCTTTTATTAATCTACCTCGTTTGATCTTTCAGCTTGAAAAATTTCACCCAAAATTTTCTTGTGAAAAGGGCATTTTCAGCAAAAACAATATAGAGTTCTGAAGTGATGACGTCACAAAATTATAATTTGATCCCATAACCCCATAACCCGAAAGAGCATCATGAAATACCTCTAAACTTACAAAATCAGTCAATTGTGTTATGAATTGGCAGAAATATGGCCACATGTGTATTGGCTCATTCCCCATCAAACCTCTGTATTTTGGTCTCTGTTCATAACTTTATGACAATAGCAAAAATAACAGTGATTCGCTAGCAAACTTGAAATCTTTCATTGGTCATATCTCAACCGATTTTAGGCATATTTGGCCAATTATGCATATTTTAAAGTATTTCATGGTGATCTTTTATCTTATGTGGTTAAAATTCAAAAATTCTAAAAAGGTTTTGATGACGTCACACTCTAGAACTCTATTAGGGATATAGTAAGACGAACTTGAGAAAATAGTCTTTTTGAGAAAAAACTGAAAAAATTCCTGCAAAAGGAATGTCTACTAAGACTCTTGAAACATAAATCATCGTAAAGGGCAAATTCAAGTTAAATTTGAGTTTTCTGTAGCAGACGTACCGACAATTGTGTAGCTGCATTTCTTTTGAAAATATCATCACTGTTGTTGATTTCGGGTTGGTGGAAGAGAAGCAGATTTGATGGCTCCGTGCCAAGACTTTTGATTAAGACTGTAGGCGCTGCAAATTATAAATAGTAACTTCTTTTTCAAGTAAAAAGTTAATATACTTTAAGCAAACATACATACTAAATGTAAGAACAGAAGACAAGTCAATTGATCTGGTGTATTTGGTGCCATTCGAGCATCTTTGCTAAAATTTTTAAAGCAAAGTATTAGGTAATACATAAAATAGGTAATTTTAAAAGTCATAAAGCTTTTTGCAATAAATGAAACAAACCTGATACTTGACTTTGTGCAGACCTAAATATAAAAGACAGTTGCTGAAAAAGTAACAATAGGTTGTATTAAAAGCGCTTGTAAGATTTTCTCAAACAACATAGGCCTATGCAGCTAGAATTTCGAAGGTGTATCGTCATTCTTGACAGATAAAGCCTCTCTTCCTTGAAGATAAAGCATTTTGCCCTGCAAATTTGGAGTCATTGCATTGTATATTTGAATCTGCTAGGATTTTGCTCAACGCTAACAAAAGGGGCAGCAATACTCTTCCTAGCTTGTTGAAACTGGAAAGCAAAACAGAAAGATCTAACACTTTTTTATAACAAAAAAACATCCTAAGAGCAGTGCATTCACAAACCTCCAATACGAAATCACCAGCTTCTGTCCTGTAATATATTCTTCCACTTTGACGAGGTCACCCCATTTTTCATTAATCAGTCGAATGGCCTGCAATGAAGAAAACACAAATCAGAAATAACATACGAGGCGTTGCTGATTATCTTTCAGAATTAAGTACAGTTCACCTCCTAGAAAGTTATTCTTGAGAACGCATCAAAAAATTACTCCGTTCAATCTGCATTAAATAAAAGATCTTGTATATCAACCAGCCATATATATCAGTCAAGAGTTGAAAAACTAGGTTAGTGAAAGTTGCAATTTCGACTTTTCAGTCGTATGCAGTCATCAAAAAATTTCTACGAATTACAACTTTTTATCACAGTAAATATTTCTTCGTTTTACCTTTTAAAAGGCTTTCCAAGATTTGAACCTACATTGCAAAGCTGTTTAGCACACATTTATCTTTTAACAGATGATCATGAATTAGCGTAAAACCCGTTATTTTGATGGCATCATACTGGGATAATGGTACAACAAAGCATAAATCAGTCATGATGAAAAGAAAGCAAAACCAATAGCAAACAGCGACATTGTTATCACATTTTATTGGCTTCGTGGCAAAAGCAACAATGGAACTGAAATTTGGTTTAAGTGGCAATTTTGCATGGGAATACAATACAGTTCTAAGAGAGTATTTTTCAACAGAGTGGTAAAAACCTGGGTATGTAGAACTTCCAGTTGAAGTGACATGGTGAAATAGTCTGAAAGATGTCAAGGGTTTCAAATCGAAATAAGCATTCCAAAACCACCCCCAAAGATCACTTAAATCATTAAATTATTCCAAAATCTTCAAACTCGAGACAACCACGGGAAAAGACAACATGGTTTCACTAGTTTCTATTCAGACCTCTGTTCAAAAACAATGACCGCACTATCGACTTACCGTTGGCTATGTATCTGCTTGTGTTTTCAGTAAGTTATCTAATGATGTTGATATGAACACTTCCACTAACAATATAGTGAAAATAGAGCCAATAATGGCAACATTAAGTATCTAAAGCCTACGTCAATGTATCGTTATGCTCGGCATTAGAAAGGATACGCAAGCAATCATAAACATCAAGAAACGGGTCAGTGCCAGCCATCAGTCGCGATTGCAGCAATTGGTGTATGTACTGAATCTGTCAGTAAACAAGAAAAACAACATTAGGCCATACTCTTAATGCACGTATCAAGCGCATTTTGTCATTCATATCATAATTAACATTTTGTCTGGTGAAGAACATATACACTATGTGAAGCTCCAGAAACAATGAACTTCAAAAGACTGAACATACTTAAGATAAAAAAGGAACAAGAAACTTTGAAACATGATACCTCCTTCTTAAAAACAGTCCTTAATAATTGGCGTGAAAGTTGGTCACCATCCTAAATTAAAGTCTTAGACTTTGGTCTAGACTAAAGTCTTAGGTCTTAGTGTAAACGTTGGAACAAGATATGAAGATGTTAGACTTTGATAACAGTTGAAGTTGGAACATTTAAACAAATTATATTTATGAACATCCGGGGAAAATACTTATTTCAGCTATTACATAATCATCAAACAATCCATAAGCTGTAAAACATTATTTTTACTGACCTGTAAATTATGAACCAAAGGCTTTCCATCTAAATTGACGAAAATAATGATATGAAATTAACGAATATATATGTTGGTATGCATATATGCACGATCAATGACCAAGAAAATAGCATTAGAAACCAACAAAACAAACTGGTTAAAATCTCTTTTAAAACATCATGAAATGCCTTTTTATTGATATGATATATATACTTTGTTAATTACACGTAGTCCTACTCAAGTGAAACTTGATCATAACATTGTTCAGAAGAGTATCGATTTTATAAAATCTTATGAGCAATTCTAAGAAGCATTCACTTAAGCAGGGCAGGAAGCTCAGACTTTTGAATCCCACCACTTTTCATCCAATACATTTTAATATGAGAGTACAACATGGAGCTGCAAGGCTAGTAATTTGAAACTGCTTAGCACTATCAATATTGCGTGTGATGTATTATCTGAATCGTGTACCTAGACAGTGTGACCAAATAAGACGCTAGAAGAAGATGTGGACAAAAAAATAAAAGTATGGAAAAAATGACGGGTTCAAATGCATCATGGTTTTGCGAGAACTTAGGCCCTAGTGTAGTCGCGAACCCTCCTAACTTAATGTTTAAAAAACTAATGAGTAAACATCTTGATTTAAGTCCTAAGTTCAGGAAAATAAAGAGTAGACATCTGGAAGAAAATCTGTTATTTAGCTCTAATGACTGTTCTCCTAATTATTACCTCCAGTTTCAAAATCTTTGATAAGAAACTCAATTTTTAGTAATCGCCATGGAATACTCTGTTGATCCCCCATCAATGTGAGGGTAGCCTAGAAAGAAATTAGGCAAAAATTCAGTGTCAGCAAAAATGAACAGATGCTAAGGTCAAAGTCACATCGAGGAACATACCCAGAAATTGTCCTTCAAGTGACAGACCTTCTTGTTCCTTGCACTAGCAGTTACTGCTGATGATCTTTCCTTATCTCATTTGTGTATATGCTAAGTTAAATTCGTTATTATTTACAATTCCTAACATATTAACATTATTCATTTACTATTTATCAGTTAGATATGAGAAAGTAATAAAAATTTCATGCATTTCAATACAATTTTACAAAATTTTGCACCATCAATTTTCAGATGCCCAAGCAAAACTTATAATTTGGTTTATGCGTAATATGTTAATTCAAATTGATATGATTGACAGAAATTATAAGAAGCAGCATTTCGCAATCAAAATAATTTTTCTGCAGTTGAATTTAAATGACTAACAAAACAAACCTCAAATTCGTCTTTTACAATTAACGTCACTCTTCCTTCGTCTGTTGAAGAATAAACATGCATGTAAATCTTACAAAAATATAAGTTTTACAACATCCTTAAATGCACGTTATCGCATAGAGAGAGGCTTACTACACTTGAAATGCAGAACTGCAACCTAACAGCAAATATTAAGAAGTTCATGAATAGACAGAAAGCAAGAATAAATATTTAACTCAGCGAAGAATTTATCGTCACTAACAAAGAAAATTATATTTAGGCGAAGAGGTGATGAGCGACTAGGAGAAATCTCCCAAAAAAATTCATGAAAATCCTCCTTTTGATTACGCCTCTCCTGTGGCTATTAGATAGCATGTGACCATGACATATATTAAAGAAAAGATCCAGCGACAGCTTCCAAGAACTACTTGCCAAATTGACTTATTCCTTTTTTTGTTTGTTTTGTTTGTACCAACCTACCTTTGCCTTTCAATAGCACTGTTTTTGACTCCTTTAAAACCAAATGAATTTCGTTAAACTGTAGAACTTACTTATCACAAGAGATGAAAACTGTGTTGGTATTTTTGAGACCGCCAGCCTGTTTCTTATAACCTCGTTAAGTCGGTTTAGAGTCTTTTTCTTGTCTGCAAGTGTTATTGAATCAGCAGCGACAATTTTCTCCTAGACAAATATTTGAATTTAAAAGTTTCAAAAGAAGTATAAAAAATGAAATATATGAGGTTTGACTACATGAGTTTACATAAAAATATCATTGGTAATAATCTTGAGTTTTCTAAAGAGAAGCTCCAAAATATAGGGACTGTGTAGTAGGACCTCTGTAAGCAGATCAAAGTTATTCTGAAAATGTCCTTGAAATTGAATAAGACAAAGGGGTTTAGGAAAACTTTCTTAAACAACATGGTAAGGTAAAAGGCATTTCAAAGAGTCTCCTTATGCATTGCGAAGCAGTGAGTATTAGAGTTGAGTGATATGTGTTTTTTCTCAAGAGATGCTATGAGGCGAAGGCAGCATAAGGTTTACATTTCTAAATTTGGCAGCAGACAGGCAATCTTGCATTATTTCCTTTAGGCCAGTACAAAATGTTTTCAAAGCACAAAGCAAATACTCATATCAAAGTTTAGGTACGTATTTATAATATCAAATGAAGTTAAGGATCAAATAACAAAAATATGTCATTGGCAACATTTTCTGGTTTATCTAACAGTGCCAAACACATAAAGTAAAATATGGATATTATCAACAAGAATAAGCAATTCCATTTTTGACTTTGCTGTTTTTTCATTGTCATTAACCACTTCTAAAAAGTTATTCTCAAGCCCTGAACACTTACCATCCTTACCAGTGACATGGTGAATTACACAAATTAATGACATATGGGTTCTCCAACTCAAGCTGTCAATGTTTAAGGAAGCTACCCGCATATTCTTCTTACCTTAATACAACGTGGTAGTCGATTGAATGTTCCAGTTGTCAAAACATCAACTGCAGTTGGCAAAGAAAAGTTTGGGAGCCTGGCAAGTGCAAAAAGAGTCTAATTAAAAAAGACAAATTACTAAGATTTTTTAACTAGGGTAACTTCTACTGGATCATTTCACAGAGCTGCATAGTTCACAAATTTCACTCAGCAAAATTGAGCTCTTCTTTTTCATTTCAAATTTAACCTTTGATTGGCCTGATGATATCATTAGCTGGCCTGCGCAAGTTAACTGCTGCAAGGCCCACCTGCAAACAACTTTTGCCAAAAATTTGCATAGATAATGACTGTATCTTGAAACTGTAATGTTACTGAACTTAGCATTTGACTGAACAATTATTTGCAGGTTAACTTGGAAAAACATCAGACATTATGCTGAGACAAATATACTCTGGAGTAAAAAGAATGGAATATGTTTCATGTCATTGTGCATTTAGCAAGGCTAGTTTCCTGGCACCTGCAATAAAATAAAGAAACTTTGTCATACCCCTCCTTAACTAGACCTCCGAAAAAAGATTTAGCTGTTTGTCATCCAAATAACAAAATTCAAAACGAGCATCTCAACCGATGCCTAGAGTCACTTTAGGGAACAGAAGGTCCTTTTTGCTATATTTTGACTACTCTCCATTTCTCTTCTCCAAATCACAATTTCAAACTGCCAAAAAATCCTGAACTTGCAACATGAAAATGGCTGCTAAAATCTGAAGCCTTAGATTTTACATTTTCATACCTGCTCTAGGATGAACATGTTGACCACAACCCTCTGAAAAGCAACCATTATCAAAACTACCAAGCAATGTCACAATGTTGAGCTTTTAACTTAATGTCCTGAGTTACTGCCTAAATTAACAAAATGATTAAAGATGCCATACCTTGCATTTGCCAGGGTCTCTCTAGCCATCCTCGCAAGTGTGTCAGCAGTATTGATAAAAAACATATTCTGTTGGTCTAATGAGGCTGAAACTTCCTGATTGGAAAAATAAAATTTTATTGCTCTTGAGATCTTGAAATCTGTTTTAATCATATATGTTGAAAAAACCAGTAAAAGGTTATGATTATTAGAATTTTATAATTTCCATATGGATATGAATCAGTTTTTTGGGGGTTGACAGTCATTAAACTGGGTACTTACCTTCTCTGGCCCTTGGTAGTATGATTTCATACAAAACATTGAAATATAGTAACTAATCAACATGTTTATAAAAGTAATAATAGTTAAATGTCTTTGTAAGATAGCATTGGGCCACAAGAGTCACTCTTTCAATTTTGGTCACCGTCTCTTTCAAGTCAAAATTTTTCCACTTGCCTAATGTCATTGCTTTGGTCATGACACGTATTTTGCTGACTCTTGCGTACGAAGAAACCGCCCTCATCAGTGTGTACCTGTTTGGGCTTTACTGATTATTTGCATAGTTGGGTCTAAATTCCTTGAAAAAGCAAATGGGTCTACATGCAACCTTAACTGCAGAACAGGGATGCCATAGATAGGGGGCACTGGGGGTCAATTGCCCCTTAGAGGGGAAAGAGGGGCAGAGTGCCCTTTTCATTAAAGTGCCCTTGAAACCGGTCAATTGTAATTATCAGAGAGACTCATATGAAACACTGATTGCAGTGATTAATACATAACGACATTTCTCAAAACTTGTAAAATGAATCCTTATGCCAAAAGTTAGCCAATTTTAAAGATACCTACAGAAGATCGAAATAAAATGGCAGTTAGTAAAAGGAATTAGTAGAATGGGAGCTATCTTTTAAATGCACTTTTACTCAAGCCTGCCCCCCTTGCCCCTTGGTCGTTCCGGTGTCCCTGCTGCAGAATAATAAATCTTCCTAATTTCACAAACCTGACATTTGTCAACCTTTTCTGCACTAGCAGCCCACTTCACAAGAGCAAGTAGCCTAACAAACTGCTGTCTAGTATTGGTTGCAAACTGGATAATTTCTATTTTCCTATAATAAAAAAGACATTTTCAGCAATCACAAAGCATCAATTATAAAACTGTTTCTAACATTGATAACTTATAGACAATGCAAAAATATTCAAACAGGAATAAAAGAAAAGTTACAATGCAACACCTGGATCAACTTGGCAAAGCCAATGACTTCACTATTATTCTAAATTTAATCAATAAAATGCAAAGTTATTCACAAATGACAAATAGCACTGCCCTGTAGACTTATACTAGGTTATATGGAAGCAGTTAAAAAGTGATCACATTGTGCAGATCTTTTTAAAACCTGCTGAAAAGGAAAACTATACATATTCACACAAAAATTATACAAAAGCGAAAAACAAAAGCAAAAATTGAAAGCATTTATTGTTGCAAAAAATTTGAAAGCTAACAGAAAATTTTAGTTTACAGACAGCTAACTTTCAATAACAGAGAAGAAAAAATTATTGTGTAAATCTGAGGATTTTGCTTTCAAAACCAACTCTTTACTTGACCCAGCCAAATTCTTTACAGCTCGGATGATCTTGTTGTAAGTCAATAATAATGTGTATGCAAATACGTGTGTGTATAACTTTACATTATGCAGGGCAAGATGGAAAATTGAAGATTTAAGGTCTTATAGATATACTCTTGAAGTACAGTTTATAAATTTTTTAGGAAAACTCCCAAAACATCTATGAAAGTATCTTTTGTTTTGCATCAACTTTGGGTATTACAGGAAGATTTATCCTGCAATAACAGCATTGTAATTCTATTGTTTTTAAAGTTCACAGCTAGGGCCTAACATCCAACATATTTGGGATTTTTAGGTTCTTGTACAAAGTTAATTTACATGCCAACCACTATTGTGTTGGGTAAATTGTCTAAATCATGTGTTTCAGCAATCCCATTTGTCCAGTGGCGTAGCGTCTATGTATAACATAAAATTGTAGACAAATTCTAAAATTTTTGCAACACTTCCGCTGGTAATAAATACATTGTATTGTTAAAGTCAATGCATAACATTTTTGCAATAAACATCTTATTTTTCTGGTCATGAGCAGCATGAAGTGAACTCCAGCGCAAACATGCCAATTGGCTATTTTCCAAGTAAAAAGATTACGAAAATCTAAAAAATTGAAGCCCCTTTACATTATTATTTTTTCCTATCTACAATAAGCGAGCATGCTATGCTTCAGTGCATTTTCAGTGCAGCTCGAGAGAAGTGAGAAATTTCTGGACTGGAGCTTGCGGTTGGCCTGAGGGCAAGCATTCCCACATATTTGATAATCCACAACAATTTTCTGCCTATAAGCTGCTTAATTTGGAATATTCTTTGCGTGATACATCATTTCAAATCTAATTATTTTTATCAAAATCTATTTGTCATGATCCGCATTCCATAATTCAAGTCAAAATCTTTGGCCAAAAGGCTTGCCAGTATAGTCAGAATTTACGTAAGCCTGAGCATAAGCCTTGCCGAATAGTTGATGATTGCAGAGAACAACTTTCAGAAACCATTTCACATGAAAGCATCTCCAATTCTAACAACTCTCATAGCTCACTATTGTCATCCTTGTCAACTATGAGGATAGAAAATGAGCAGAAACTTTTGCTCCTGTTCCCGTAGGCTCTGCAGTGTGTTAACAACTTTGCAATGTGGAGAGCTCCTCTTTGCGAGAATCCCCAGATGCATTATAACATCAAACATTCCTACATTAGATGGGCATTAGGTGATGCCTTTTCTTGATAAATATGCATATGAATAAGATATTCTGCAAAACAGTTTTAACACTAGAAGTTATACTGAAAACAATTGAGCTTTTTTCAAAATCTTTTCACATGGATGATAATTTTTCCCTTGGCCCCACTCCCACTTTCCAACCTGTGTCAGTGCCTCTGATGCAGAGAATAGACACCTTGATTGATTAGAATTAGAGTACAAATAATTTGTTATTCTCAAAATCAAAATTTATTGTCATGATTATCATTAATTACCGCTTGTATTTTTAAGAAGTTGAAATTACGATTTCATTCATTCAACATAACTGTATATCATATTTTACCCGCGTGCCTAAGTTTTGCACTCACGCTACGCCACTGCAATTGTCAGACTGGTTTGGAAGTGGATCTTGAAAGTTATATGGCAAAATTTTTTCTTGTGGCTCTTGCATATAAATTGATATGTAATGCTTATGTTTCATTTCATGATCTATAAATTTTGTTTTATTTTAACAACATACCTGCCAATATCTGATTTCCTTGGTAATCTAAAACAAAAAACACATCATAGTAAAACAAATATTATACCTCTTTCAATATGCAAAACTTCTCCTTAATTCAAGATTTATCCTAAACTTGCCATTTCATTATACTACCTCAAGCAAATATAGCTTCTGTGGACAAATATACTTTTAAAAAGTTAGCACTTCAGAATATTATAAGTAATATGTGATTATGAACTATGAGAAAAAAACCCATATGCAAGAAGAAAATTTATGAAAAGAAGGCAGTTAAGAATCATTAGGAGAGGGGTGGTTCTGAATCCTATAGCATTAAATTAGTTGTTATTCTAACTTTAATTCTACATCTACAGTGGCATGATGTCACTTGACATTCTTTCACAACTGTTAAAAATTAATTAATAATAACAGCTATTCAAGCATAAAACAATTCAAAATTTAGAATCTAATAAAAAACCAAAATTGATCAAAAGACCAAGAAAGTGAAATTAACACTTTGGCTATCATCTTGTGATAAAAATTTGCAAAGGGAAAGTGGAAATGTTTGCTTTCAATTTCTGTCTCTAAGATCTTAAAATGATGTTTAAGTTGGCCTCATATTGATATGAATATTGGGGGTTTGAGTTCAATTCATGCAAACATTCAAGTTTATCTATAATAAACAAAAAAGCTCTTTTTCAGTAAAATATCACATTTCAAATAATACGAACTGAATTCGATTATACAGCAGCAAGATAATAACTTAGATATAAACAAGAAAAAAGATAACAAGGAAAAAGAGGGAAAGGGGATAAGTAAAAATAAAACAAAAGATAAAAATTAAAAGCAAAACTAAAGACTAAAAAACTAAAATAAAAATTCTTATGCAGTAGGGTTATATAAATAATGCTCAAAGCTGGTATGTTATTAGTCATGTAAACTGGCATCAATTTGTTTGTAAAAACCAGTTCCATATATCTATACTTTAATTTAGGAAGCTTTGGTATATTTGTTGGATTGCCAGCTGTTCATAAATCAAATGACCTGTTTAGTTTGAATATTGTGTCTAGATTTGGTTAACTAGAAAAGATAGCAGAGAGTTTAAATTAGCTTATTAGTGCTAACATCAAACATGGATCTATTACTTTCTATCATATAATGTTATAAGGTATTGTAATAATCGAGACAAGTCAACAGATGTAGCTATTTTGTCAGGGCCCACGCCAGGAATTTCAAGATGGAGAGGCCAAGTTCTATAAATAAAACTTGAATTTAGTGCTTCAAAACAGGGCCTCTTTATAAATATTTTTGCTTACCAAAAATTGGGGCGTGAGCCCTGTTTGTAACTATCAAACCAATACAAGATTATTGAATATGTATAGCGATAATACAGTTAGCAAATAAATTTAGTACCAGAACGAAAATGTAATAGTTTGATTGTTGAAAACACAATGCAATGTTAATGCAAGATTATGTCAATCTTGAGGAAACATGATTCTTCATTTGCCCTAAGCAATAGGACACACCCATGTCACGCCCTGATCTCAAAATGTCACAACATTTATCAGGTGTGCAGGGACATTTTTAAAAAAATATTTTGGGTGTCCAATTGCCAAACTCTGCAATCTGGACAACTCAACACTCCAAAATACATCAATAGTCGGTGAAAGTATGGACTTTTCTTTTTTCCCTTTCTTTAAAGAGAGAGACTTGTAGCAAGTCCAGTGAAAGTATCAAAACAAACCTACAGTCAGTTGTTGCATTTCCATGTTTTACTTCATAATCTTAAAACTGATGGACGCATTAAATCTTATAAGAAAATACAAGCGAATAACACCAAGTGCCGCTGACTGATTAAGAATAAATTTCTGCACGACCCTTTGGCCTTGAGCTCATTCATACGTTATAAATGTATTAAGTGTATTAGGCCACTATGTAACTTACAGCTCTGACAGTAGGGTCAGTTCATGATAGGCTTTTTGCAGAGCCATATCAACCAACATTGACAGATTCACTGTAGTGCCGGGGGCAAACTGCTGCATCCCGGCCATGGCTGCCACTTCGTGTAGTTTTATATGATCATCGTTTTTCTTCGACCATTTTGGATAACAAGAGATCTGCTTCTTTCGAGGACTGGATAGGAGGCTGAGAAATTATAATTATAATCATAACAACCAACAAACGACACAACCGAACTTATTTTTTTATGAATGAGTGAGCAACGAGCAGGAGAGAGTGAAAGAAAGAAAAAACTCATTTTATTATTTGCTTTATGATTTTGATCTCTGCATAATATTCATTATGCTCACACCTCTTCATTTTTGACTGGTTGACTGGCATCGTGGTTATTACTCACCGTAAAACAAATTGACCTTCCAGTGATGATTATTATAGTGGTTGTGATTCACGCATTCACGCACAATTTTTTGACTTTTCACACATTCGCGCACAGCAAAATTGGATTTTCACGCTCATGCAAACTATAAATGTAATATCAGCTATTGCTTATCAGAGCCCTGTTTGAAGGACTACAACACTACTTTCAAATTTTGAATGTCTACACTTTGCTAGCTCTACAAATCAGCAGAAACGACCGGAAGTTTAAGAGGGACTACAAAAAGACTATAGAGACTCATGACTCAACAAAATACTAAATTGAGATTTAACTATTATTGGTTTATTACGCACCAAATTGAGGATATTTTTTAAAATTATCATTCAGTCTTTAGTTAAAGCAAGGATAGTAAAAGCTTTTACACTCTTTTTTTTATAAGAACAATTTTATAAGAACACGAGCCTCAAAACTTGTCAAAAGTTAAGAACAAATTAAGAACAAGCTGAGGCTGAGCTTCTGCAAAATGCAATTTTGAACTACGTTTTTTTCTCAAAATCGAGAATTTTTAGCGATGTGTGGGTGCTTTTTCGGTGAATATTCAAATTTGTCAGCAAATTAAGGCTGTCTCACTCACTTTGTTGGCAAATGAGGCCTGAACACCTCCTTAGAGCGAAAAAGCTAGCAATAGCACTGCTTACACCCACTTAATTTAAGAACAAATTAAGAAGAATCCAGCCTCAGATATTCGAAAAAAATAAGAAAAGTCAGCCTGAACTTAAATTTACTGGTTCTTATATAAAAAAGAGTGTAAAACAAAGAAAACTCATGTTTCACACTTCACGCAGGAATCTTAATTCGCGAAATCACGCATAAAAAATCGAGATTTCACCATTTCACGCACGAAATATGGCCAATAACGCATCACGCAAAAATATGGGGGGGGGGCATTTATGACCATCTCCTTTGCTCTTTGGTCATTTTTGCCGATATTTGTCGATTTTCGTCTAAATACCACCTTGATGTGGAACTTTACAAACTATTGATGTCCAACACCTTTGATTAGAAACATAATGGGTTGCAACGTTACCCATATAAAGTGGTGTTTGCCATTAGGTTTGGGCTGTATGAATTCAAGGTGGCTTGGGTCCATCAGAATAGCAAAACCGAACTGAAAGAAGTATTTTAAAAAGAGCTGAAAGAGCTTGAAATGAACTAAAGAGCCTCTTTTCCCGGCTTAGAGCCTTGCGGTAGCTCTCATAACAGCGTCAGATTTGGTCAAGTATTATCAAAAAGGCACGAGAAGCTTTGTTGCTTCCACACAATTTGTACATAGCCGTTCATGAAAGTAGGCAATTGTGTTCCAGAATTCGGTATCTACAAATTTAACATACATTACACAATATTACGTTGATCAAATACATTACACAATATCATTCTAATAAGTTATAAAAATATAATCGCTTAAAATCTGCCATGTATCATCCATCATACAGAAAGTTGAATGTCAAAGTTTAAAAGAGAGTCAAAAAACAGTAGATATCATATTTACAGATTTATGCATAAATTTTAGTAGCCTTCATTAATTCTAATCACCGAAGCCGAAGGTTTCCAAATAACATCCAATTGGGACCTAACATTGCAAAATCAGCCTGAGGAAGATGTTTAAATTGTATCGGTTGGGTATCTCTGCTTTGCTTCATAAGCATACCCCCAAACAAGGATTCCGTAGTGCAGAGATGATGAAAATCGAGATCTATTCACAGATTCTTATCATTTTCTTACTCGGGGAAGAAAACATTAACAATGGGATCCAATGAATTTAAAAAAATAGCTGTCTCAGAAGGCATTTGCCTCAGAAGGCATTGCCCCATCTCTCATAAAATCAGGTCTTGTGGCTACATCCCATTACCTATGAAAGCAAGGTATTTGAGGCTAGTGAAATCAAATTCTGCAACATCCCTTGTGAAAAGGTTTCTGACAAATTATCATTTGGTTTGCATAAAAACTGCTTTAACAATAGATCATTTATTCGATAATCGTGGAGATATTCGTCTGGCAGTCCGTAGGCCTTTTGCTATTCGTCTGACAGCGAGCTGTCATAAAATAATGATAATACCGGGATTGAAAAGATTCAATTGCGTCATCAAAACTTTAGTGAGAAGAATACTGGGCTACTTAACTGATTCAGACATTAGCAAAAGTTAGTCACTGCCACTGTCAATATCACATAGGCCATATCAGTATAAAAGTTTTTATCCCCTGCCTTCTGACAACTACACTGGGTACCAGACTCTACATAAAATAAGAGAGACTCACCCTATAGTTTCTCTCATTTTATGCAGAGTGAGTCTGGTACACAGGGTATCTGACAACATTCCTTAAAATCTCTCGGCCTTTTCTTCAATTCCAAACTCTTGGCTTCCTTTGCTGCTGACTGCTGCTGACAACCGCGTTTCGAAAAAATAGAGTTGTCAAGTGATGACATCACAGAAATCATTTTTTTAAGAATTTTTTAAATTTGTTCCCATAACCTGAAAGAGCATCATGAAATACTCTAAATCTGCAAAATCGTTTAGAGTTATTAAGAATTGGCTGAGATATGACCAGATGAGCACAAGCTCTGATCCCATCAAACCTCTGTAATTTGGCTTCAGTTCATAACTTTATGAACTGAGCCAGAATAGCAGCAATCCGTTGGCAAACTTCAAATCTTCTATTGGCCATTGCTCACCCGATTTTTGACAAACTTAACTGATTTCTATATATGGGAGTACTTTACGGTGTTCTTTTATGCTATGTGGTCAAAATTCGAAAACTCTAAAAATATTTTTTTGTGACGTCACACACACAAGAACTCTATTGCAAAACTTTTCTGCCATCATGATCTCAAAAAACATCATTCTCGATCAAGCCTTTCAAGCCTAATAAACGTAGTTCTGGCTTTAGACCATATACGGAAAATTCATCCAAAACTCTCTTTTTTCTAGGAACTAAAGTTGCTACAGTGCTGGTTCTCCATTTTCAGATGCTGTAAGACGGGGTATGTAGAAAGCGATTCCTCAACTGAAAAATATCAATTTCCGCTACAAAACCATAAAGATAGGATAACAAATACTCTATCTCTATAGGCAAGACAAATAAAACAGTGAATACGGGAGTACCCATGCTGATTACTTCCATTCTAAAATGGAATTTATTTCTTTTTGGGGTCTCGTGAAAACGGAAATGCGCCCATGTCGAAATGGTAAAAGCTGCTTCAGCTTTTAACCTATTGTAAAGTTGAACGAGAACAACCCCATCAAACTTCGATACACGTGTGTCCGGACTAACATTTTCCAAATACCAAATACCGGACTAACATTTTGCAGACTGATGCCTGTACAGACATTTTACATTACGTTTGCCTTATGTTAAGTAGCTGTTTTGAAAAAATAATCATGACATAAATTTATGATAGTCATAGCATAGAGATAGAACATGCTCTAAGGAGAACCTTCATGTTTAAGTGTGTATTGTTGATGAAATTGGCTAGCTTTGGACTCTACGCATGTATGTCGGACGAGCGGTTTTGGTACCGGACGAGCGTTTGATTTCTAGCTATATTTTTCTAATTATATCTTTTTTAACATCAATATCTATAATAAAGTGAATGAAGATTCAAAGGCAAATAAACTGAAAAATATTATTTGAAGTTACATTACACAACTCCCCTCCTCACCACAGTGAGTGCTTTGTCCCTACGTTGGCGATTACGAAACGTAAGAAAGTGGCCAGCCCTGTCACTGTTGTTACGAAAATTCCAACTGCTATTCTCACCGTCACTTTCACGCCGAGTATTCTCAGTCCAATCATATTCTCCCTTATAGATAAATGCTCATAAAGCTGGAATCGCTCTAGGGGCATGTCTATTAACGTATGATGCGGGTAACACTCGTTCCCAGACCTTCTAGTTATGTAATGAACAGCAGCCGAAACGACTGCAGCAGGATAAAGTTTTATAGCAATGCTGGCTAGATCGAATGCTATGCCACCAACATACTGCAGAATCGAATAGTTTGTGCCAAAATCACGGTCCCAATAGGCAATGCTAAACACAATTGCATCAATGGTATGGTACGCCATAGCAAAAGAAATAATTTTTCCAAATTCTCTTTGTGTCCTCTCTATCCACCGACTCAGTTCGTTGTACACGCCTAGAAGTAGACCCACTCTTCGCCTTTCATCCGCTCTACTTCGATTTGAGTTCTGGAATACCTCCTGCATACGTTCTACAAATATCTGCGCTTGCAGAGCATGTATATGGCAAACAAAGCCATATATGCTAAGCCAACTGGACCACCATCCTGTCGTGTAAATCACTGTAAAACCGTACACTATATGATGCCAAGTCCGATTGAAAAACGGTAGCCAATGGATATAGAAGAAGACAGCTGCAAGTATCCACATGCCAAGAGAGAAAGCACTATACATGCGAGAAAGAAATCTTATCTTGACTCTGTGTTCAAAAGAACTCTGCATGACACTCGAAATCAACGCATCGTAGCTTCCAAATCTGAAATAATATTTTATGAATGCAAAAGGCAATGTCAGATTCATCAGCGTAAAACAGCTGTTTGCTATCGATCCAACCCTCCACTTCTCCGATTTCCCATGTAGAACGTATTCAAAACCTGCATAAGAAATGAATAAAGCTTAGACCCCGTTTACACTGTCCCGGGACAATTTTGTACCGTTACGGTTCGCAAGTGTTTACACTGTCGCGGTTCCAAATTGTTCCGTTTAGCCGTTCCGTTTACACTGTACCGGTACGACCTTAATTTAATGGTAGAACATTGTTTAGAAGAAGCTGTATTTAGTCAACCAAGGCTTTTATTTTGCAGCTGAAGTCAACAATCGAATTTTTATTGTGAGTTAAAATGGAGCGGAAGGCCGATTAAAACTTTACTTGGACGAAAGACAAGGTGGCTTTAATTTTCAGTGTTATTTTAGACTACAAAACTGCAAAGTCCAATCAAGGCTTGGACTGGGAAACACTACAAGCCTTTTCTGTGGTCGTCTTTTCTTCAGAATTTCCTTTTCTTCAGAATTTGAGAACGTAGTTACGCCACAATCAAAGCCTCGATTACCTGAAACAGCCATACAAAAGACCTCTTTGTGAATCCGTGACAAAATCGTCTCGGATAGGTGTTTACACTGTCCCGTTCAAAAACGGAACCGTGACGGTACAAAATTCGTTCGCTTTCAAAGCAGGGTCAAAACTGTTCCGGATAGCAGAGCAAAATCGTCACGGTTCTACAGTGCTAGTGTAAACGCAAGGGCGAGCCGCGACAGTTTTGTCACGGTTCCAAACTTGCACGGGACAGTGTAAACGGGGTCTAAACGATCTTGTTGCTGCAAAAATATTATCTGGTAAATTTCAGTCTCGATTCTTACCTACTTGATAAATAAATAGTACTACGTAACAACATTACGTAGCCCACTAAACGCCAAGGACCGAGATACCGGGGGTCCGGGGAGAGGGGCCTTGCCCCCCCAAAAACTTAAGTTGCATTTATGCGTAGAATACTTATAAGTAGAATACTTCTATTTTGTAAAATATGGCTTTTGTTACACTGATTTATCAGGGCTGCCCCCACCCCAAACAAAAAGTTTTATCTCGGTCTTTGATAAAGGCATAAAGGCCCCTAATGAAATAATGAGAGCTAAACATTTCAACTCTTCAAAGAGAGATGAAAAACTTTCATATTTCATTTTCAGCACCTAAGGTACCTAAATTAAAACTCAGACAATTGTCATGTTAACTAAAAAAACTAATGCAGCATCATGCCATAAAATACCGAATCATTACAATTATTTTTAAAGACACTCTTTATAATTATACTCTCTATTTCTTTTCGTAAATGCTGCTAATCCCCCCCCCCCCTTCCCACAAAAAACTGTGTTTATATGGGCTTTGCTTTAAACAGAAAGCTTGCCACATTTCATATAAACCCCACTACCCTGGGGCTGGAACACATCTGGAATTTTCTAGAGGGGGCTTCACCATCCCTGTCAACGTTTTAATGGAAAAAGTTTCTACGAATAACAAAAACAACAGTGTGTTATATCGAATACACAATGCTTTCTTGATTTGAGAAGCGGCAAAACATTTAGCTCTCCCATCGGGGAGAATATGAATATATATGTTTTGTGATTTCTGAAGAAGAAAACTAGTGTTCTTAAGTGATAACGTCACAATATTCTTTTTTAGAATTTTTGAACTTGGATCTGAAAACCCGGAAGAGCAGAATAGAAGACCTCAATACTCTATTAAAATACCATAACCAGTTAAATTTGCTAAGAATTGGATAGGATATGGCCACATGAGCACAGGCTTGGGTTTTGTTAGCAACTTCAAATCTTCCATTGGCCATATCTTATCCACTTTTAAAACATACTTAACTGATTTCACATATTTCGAAGTATTTTGTTTTTCATTTAGCTTATGTGGTCAAAATTCAAAAATTTAAAAAATAGGTTTTTATGATGTCACATTTAAGAACTCTGTTTTCTGCTGGTCTTATATTCTTGCTAACTTTTCTTTTAGGAATCTAGCCCCTTTAGGGGGAAGGGGCATATGTTCCAACCCTCCCGATATGACCGGGAGACTCCCGATTTCAGAAGTCATCTCCCGACCTCCCGACAATTAAAAAACCCTCCCGATTTTTGAAAAAAACTTATAATAAAAATAAAAAGTTGGTATAACATAAAGAAGAATCAAGATCACTGTCAACAGTGCAACCTTCTCATAACGGACGAAACGATTCGATGTATTCACAACATTACAATAGTTACGACATCGGATAAAGCCAGACGCCAAACTGCCAGAAGCCAGACGCCAAACTTTTTAACATTTGCTGTTGTTTATTCATCATAAAAGATAACCTTTCTTATAATTTCAAACTAATCTAAGTGACATAAAATTGCCAAAAATTTTTGTAGGAGTTAAATCGGGGTTCGCATGGGTTCGCACTGATTGCAAGAAAACATTTCCTATAAAAATATAATCATAATTGTGCACAGTGGCGTTTCTAAGCCCAGAACTTTTTTGGCCTCTTCATTTGCCCTCCCCCCCTCACTTTCTAAAAAAGTTCTTCGATATTACTGACCTATTGATTACGAAGAACTGTTTTTCTATTAACATATTACAGACAGAGAAATTGAAGAATCCTGAGTCATTTTGAGGCCTCAGAAATGACAAAATGTCAGGAGCTTCAGGGGGCTTCGTCCCCTGGACCCAGTCTGCAGAGTATGGCATGTGCACACCGGAGATATTTTTGTGCAAAACCTGTTGCACACCGGTATTTTTGGGTGTGGCAACTAAGATGGGTGTGACTTGGTGTGGTCCCATAGAAAATGTCAGTTGATAAAAACAAGCACAGTCGTGTATGAACAATTTGAGATTTCATGAATCTTACTTGACAAATATACAAATAAAAACTTGCGCTATCTCCAACAGTATACTTCACACGCATTTTTACAGTGAAATGCAAATTCACAAATTTTAGCCACAACAGGGGAAAATAGTCGGTGCACACCAGCACACCAGACATTTTTGGTGGTGCACACCGTCACACCAGGCTTTTTGCTCGTGCACACCGGAGATCTCGTCAAAAAGTGCCATACTCTGCAGACCGGCCCTGGACCCGCTGGGGGGCTCAGAGCGCTCCCCAGACCCCAAGCTCTAATTTTTCGCTCGCTCCGCTCGCGATGTCCCCCGCTTTTCTTTCTCTACAGGTTGGAAGGTATGAAGGGGGGACGACTTTTATCATGGTGGTTACATATTTGTTGTTGTCCTTTCGATGTAACTTATTTAAAATCATAAAACTAACAAGGAGTACAATGTTTCTTACCTAGAATTGAGAGCATGCTTCCAAGCAGAATTAAGTATGTCAAGGCTGAGTAAAAGTGAAAAGGCCATAAACAGTTTTTCGGTTGCCAAACACCAAGCACCCTCAGCATGTAGAAGCAGGGCCTAGGCATTTTCAATTGATCTACAAAACTAAATTGATCTAGACACGGCAATTCAGCTCTATCTGGGATCTCCAGATTCACAACATAACCGTCCACCTCTTCACGGCTCATTATAATCTGACAAGTATTATCACGTCCTTCCTCCATTTTGTTAATAGCATTGCTTTTCATCGTCTCTCGATTGTTCGTATTTTCTGATTCGAAGTGCGAAGTTCAGTTGAAAGGCCAACAACCAACTTCCGCATTGATGTGTGTACCAGACATGTGATGGATGCATGCGAGGAGAGTAGATTTTTGTATTTTTACCAACCAGCAGAAATGTTGGGAAAGGGGGAGCTGGGGGCACGTGTTCCAGCCCACTTTATAAAAATGTTGAAAAATTGTCCATAAAATTTTAAAATATGCCCTTTGCTACCTTAAGCAAAAACCTTCTGCCTTAGCAAAAGCACAGACTCGAGAGCGCGCCTCCCTTTTAATTTGCTATGAAACAAATAGAGATTTATTTTACCTTGCCAGAACCCCATTTTCTCTGTCCGTCTCTGTCTGCAATTTTAGTGGGAAAATATAAGTCCAGGCACACGTGTATCGAAGTTCAATAGGGTTGCCCTGCAGGGGCGCCGGAGCACGGGGGCAGAGGGGGCATAGGGGGCAGCATTTTGCCCTTGTGAAAATGGCACTGTGTTTATGCGAATGGAATGAATATGTAAAATGTCAAGTTCTTGGGTGAGATAAAACGTTAGTGCGGTTAGGAACAAAATGAAAGCAATTAAAACATTGGGTGCAACTAAGCCTAATTTTGAAGAGAGACGTGTCATTTTGGTTAAAAAATTTGGACCCATAATTCCACACATGTCTGAAAAAATGTGACCCATAATTCCGCAAACATGATGCAAACTATACCCATAATTCCGCAAAGCAAATAACATTTTCAAAGCACAACAAAATCATCAAACAATTTGCATGTCCTTGGCCCCAAAATCTCAATATTGCACATATTTCACACTTTCATTTCTAACTGGACATTCATTTTGTTAATGCTCAATCTCCCTCCTAATAGTTTTTCAAAAACTGATACCGATAGTTCCGCACTTTTCAGAAAAAAGGTACCCTAAAAAATCGCAAATCCCCCTACCTTCAATCATGTTAAGGTACCCCCCCCCCCTTCCAGCAAATGCCTAAACAACAGAATGGAAAATTTTAGACTGGCCTTTTAGATTAAAAGTTTTATCGGTACCAAAGTATTATGTTATATCATTTTTTGTTATAATTCTAATATTAGTCATTGAAAATGTGCCCTTTTTGAGTAGCTGCCCCCACCGCCTCAAAATGCTTCCGGCGTCCCTGGTTGTCCTCGTCCAGCCTTACAATAGGGTAAAGACTGATACAGCTTTCACTATTTCGACATGGGCGCATTTTCGTTCTCACGAGATCCCAAAAAGAAATAAATTCCATTTTAGAATGGAAATAATCAAACATGACAAAAGTTTGCCTAAAAATAGTGAAAACGACTGCAACAAAAAGATTGCAAGAACTATTGTGAAATCATGATTTTTAATCTGGCCCCTTCTTTTTCATTTTTCCTGAGCGGCTACCCAACCCTCTTTTGCGTGGTCAGGAACTCGCCCCTCCTTGCTTAAAGGCAGGACGATTGAAGCTTTGAGGGATCAGCCGAAAGTTGAAAAAATCTAGCAAGAACGAATTTTGCTTGGCACTTGTATTCAGCACGGGTTGTACAGTGTACAGACGCTACTTGCAGATGTTCTGAAGCTCCCAAAGTTTTATCTCTTAGCCCCTATGAGTAAATCTTCGGCAGAGAGGTCATTTAATATACAAAGTAGATTGATTTCACATCTCAGGAACCCTATAACTGAGATAATGTGTAACAGTTTACTCATTCTAATCTTAATATACACAAACACAGAACAGACAAACTAGATATAGCTGAGATAGCAAACGATTTTGCCTCACGAAACAACGTAAGAAAATAACAGTTCCTTGTAAGTTTTAGAAAATAACTTTAGTCAAGTCTCGCTCTTAATATTGTATATGTCATTTTCCATATTCCAGTATATTTTTGCATTCTTGGTTGTGGCACTTAGAATAAAGGGTGTGGCTAAAGTGTTTTTTAAACCCCTATGCTCCCACCTGCCAAATGCTTCCCACGACTCTGGTTGCCGTAGATTAAATATTCGAAGTCAAGGACTTACTACTTAAACATGTACCAGTGCACTCAAGCTGAAGAAAATATTTGCTCTCTTCAGTGATAGACAGACATTTCTACCTCATCATCTTAATTATGAAAAGGTGCCTTATTTAACCGATCTACCATAAGCCCTCGAATTCAATTGAGGGATTATTAAACTGAATCACAGACAGATGAAGCTGCAAATAATATTCAAAAGAAAAATTCATACAACCTTACCCTATGCAAGTAATTCACTTAGTGGCAGAAATTTAATGCCAGTCTTCGTCATTAGAACAATCTCCGACAACTAGAAATTCAGATGCCGCAATAAGATTAACATCCTTCGAACATGGGGTTGGACCCTGTTCAAGGGGGCTTTGGAAGGTGGGGAGGGGTTAATCGTAGATTTACGTTAACTTTTGTGAAAGTGGTATCTTTGTTTCTCCTTTCATCTCATGTTTTAAAGGTTACATTTTTTCTTATCCCAATTGCTTTGCTATTTGCTTCTGCAAAATTTTGCGAAAGAGTTCCCTTCTTGATAGCACTACTCCCTTGAACGTTAGTAAATCAAGGTCTGCGGAAAATTTGTTCTCTAGAACCAAAATTTAAGGACGAACTTATCCGGTTTATTTCTACGGTACACAGCAGGACTACTTCAAAGAAAATGACTTCCATTCTGGATACTTCAACATTTGCATTAACTACCCAACTAAGTTTACAGAAGTATAAGTAGATACTCTAATAATAACGAAGGCAAATGCTTTTCAACAAAACATACTGAAACAAAAAATCTACCCCCCCCCCCCTTTACAATAAACCAACTTCAAAACGCTTGCAACGACACTAATTTGGCGGCGTAAAAATTGGTGGAAAACCTCGTTGGTTCAATATTTCTTAATTTGAATGAATTCACCATAAATGTGAAACCTATTTTTTAGAAAATGGCTCTCGTGATGTCCCCTTAAAAAGATATTGCATGCTATTTTTGATCATCAATTGATACGAGTCTCCATGAATATTCTTACGCCTGTTCACCAATAAATTCTACAATTCTTACAAGAAAAGCACAGAAAAACGTTTTACAAAAGTGCATACCCTAATTCGGTAAGTATTATAAACATATCACCTGAGGGGTACAGAAACAAAAGCTATGAACAGCTAACCGGACACGACTACGACACAAATACACAAAGATACGTAAAAACAATCCCTCAACAAAACAAAATTAAACTTTCTAAATCTACTATCTGTTTTCTACCTCTTGCCTGGAGTGGACACTCAATGGTATAGCACAAGGGGGTAGTCAGACACCAAGGGTCTGAATTCCATCAATTCTGACATCTCTAGGTACGAATTAATAGGAAATGTGACACGATTTTTTAGGGAATTTGAGTAAGACACCATCGTTAAAAAATCAATGGCTATGTGAAAGCTACTGAAGAATGTTAGACAGTTTATCAATATTTGAAATACGAAACTGACTATTCGAGGGTTTTACATCTATGGGTTGCCCATAGATTGTTCTGAACTTACCTCCACGTATGCTAACATTGAATGTCTCACGTGACACTAATTGTACAAGATGATACCATCGTCAGAGATGGGTTTATCTAGCCTACAAAAATACAGAACTGCTAATCCACAAACATTCAGCTCTCTGCAACTCTATTTTAGCCTGTAATCACTAATGGGGGTTTATATACTTCCGTCCTTGAATATCTTCATAGACACAAATAGCAAGGGATTTTCCCCTTACTTCAAAAAGCTATGTAGACTTCATTAGCTATAGGTATTTTAAATATCAATAGTTTGTTTATATTTGCAAATTTCAAATTCTTGGATCATGTCGTACTTATGCAGTCCTACACCGAATACCTTGGCTGGGCCTGGTTCACAGGTTTCAAGAATGTCTTGTGAAGGCAGTTCTTCAAATACCAATAACTAGTCCGACTACAAACGACTCAAACACACACATTTGCTTTTTAATAAAGCAATTTAATATATATTTATACTAGTATATGAATTAAAGTCCTAATCACTATTTTATTTCATTTCTTAAGGCTATTCAAATTTTCTTCAAAATGCCAGGATAATGTACTATACTATCTAACACACGCCTATTCAAATTCTGATCTACATTGCTTTTGGTGTGTTACTTTGATAAAACTAGCTTCTAGCATAACTGCATTGCGACGTCATGATGACCCAAACATCACAACTTTAATACTGGCACTTGCGAGTATTTGTGTAGCCTCAAGTATATCAATGGTACAATACAGTTGTTTATCAAATCAAATCTTATCATAACCCTTCAAGTTTAAACCCTAAACCATTACTTCCAACACATGCCTGATTTCCTTGCCCTCCAAACTCTTTGGCACTGCCTCAGTCCCCCAAAATCGGCCTGTTTAGGTGTCAATGTTTTTGATTGTTTTTGAACCGTACGGCTTCACATGTCAACTCGAGTCTTCCACAGTCATATCTATGGAGTTGCAGGAGGCGTCATAGTCTCGACATATTGGCTAATGAACTGTCCGGGAATATGCCTGTACCCGTCCGGTGGAGGTGGCATTGACAGCATACCGGTTCACCTTTGAAATAAAAGGACTGTATGAGAGAACAAAATGATAGGTCTTACTTCTAGGTGAATTCAAATTCTATTCAAGATTTACATCACTGAAAGAGAGCCTTGTCCAAATCCATGCTTGATAAATTCTCCCAAAATCCCTACCCTAAACTCACCGCCATCCCCCAGCACCCCCCACATCCCTCCTTTGCTTCGAAACATCTAGAACAGATAATCGCCATGTACAAGGAACCTCGATTACAGACCTGTTGGCCAAATGAACGCCTGAAGCGGTGGAAGATGAACTGGCATCATAGGTTGTCTCTCCTGACTGACAGGAAAATACATTTCCGGTGGAACAGGAATCAAAGAAGGCATTCCACTTGGACCGGCAACCGGTACAGGTACTTGTATTTGCTGACCAGGCATCGACATCGGCGAGGAGCATATCTAAAATGCATTAAATAATAAATAATTCATAAAACTAAAAGCAATCAGGTTTGAGCACAGTGAAAGAGGCAAGGGGTGGCAGATACACCTGCTCATCAAGGGAAGAGGGGTGCAAAATTGTTCTTAAGGCCAAATAAGTTTTTCAAGCAGGACAATGATCTACTTAACCAAAAGTTAGTCATGGGCGTTCCCTTCGGACAAAATTGGCGTTCCCTGTTGGGAAGAGGGTGTTTTCTCGTGGTAAAAAGAGCGCGGTCTAGATATTCCCCCCCCCCACTCCTAGAGCTTAGAGGCTGGCGCCGCCATTGATCCATTCGTTCCCTCAAAAAAGAATTGGTTCCCTGGTGTGACTTGGGTCCTAAACTGGGGCGTAAGGGAACGACAGAGGTAGTGAAAGAATGAAAAAATGAAAGACAACGCTCAAAAACTTTTTTTTGCGGGTACTATACATAACAAATCTGTAATTTTATAAAAAAGAAGATAAAAAAAGCGAGGGTCTTTATAAAAATTATCTCACCATCTGAGGTCCCATTACTGGTGATATACTGCCTTGATATATGGGTCCGTAAACCTGAGATGGTCTCCTCTGTGCAGCTTTGACACGTGCCTGAAGATGAGGCGGAGGATGGAAGTAGCGGCAACTGATTCTCTGGCACTCTCCCTTCATGTAGTCCATGCAGACAGTTATGTACCCATCTACACCGGGAGGGATCATTGGCGGGGGGTGAGCAAATGGACATATGCATTCTTCATGTGGACACGTGTTGTTCATGAAATCACTGCAAACCTGAAAGCCATAAAAGCTCTTGCAAAGAAAATCTGTTATGTTTCATTGGCATTCTTGTGATATTATTTGCATATGTGCCTACAAGACGTACAGTAAATCCCACAAAGAAATAACTGCTTCTTCAAGACATTGTTTTTAGGTCTTATTTCAAAGCTGCACGTGGGTCACAGGTTCTATGGTCACAGGTTGTATTTTGAAGATAACTTGATCGGTGATGCCTAAAAAGAGGGGGGTCGCTCGTTTGTACCAGATGGTTCAAATATCTTATTTGGAGCAAATAAGATTTGTTTGGCTAAAATAGGTTCTCAAATGATTCACAGATTCACAAAAGAAACATTCAAAGTAAAAAGAATTAAAATTATCTTATTGATAAAAAAATATCTTGAGAGCTCGCTGATTACCTCGAGTTTGTCTGACTTGTCCAGTCTTCTTGGCAAATTTGGGCTTCGTGGGGAAGGGGGTTCCGATGGGAGCTTTTCTGAGCTGTGCCATCTTGGCATCCAGTGGCCAAGGGGCTTTTGTAAGAAAAAGCAAAGTTATTCAACTCAACATATGGTTCAAGTCAATGCATAGATATTTTGAAACGGATGGGACATTGAAACGGATGGGACAAATTAGAAGCTGTAAGACAAAGAAAATCAGCCTATTTGTAGCTAGTTAACCTTCCAAGTATGACAACATGTCTCGAATGGAGAAGGCCTGAGACTTTTGAAAAACAAAACTTACCAGGCTCTGGAGAGGTCCTTCTGTGAATGGCATATGGGAATGAGGGAACACGTGGTCTCTATGGTAAGATGCTACACGTTGTTGTTGATAGGCCTTTCCCAACGATTCTAGATGCTCGCTGATGTGCTTTGGGGGATGAAAGTACTTGCATTTATCCCTTTGACATCTGCCCTGAAATGATTAAAAAGATCACTATAATTTTCTGACAGTACACAAAATTCATGCCGAATTTTATTGATTAACCATTAGATGTTACGTATGACATAATATATACTATGTATAATATTCTATACGTTATGTGCATTATCTAGCACAGCCTGCTATCAAGATAGGATTCAGGAAACACGGAAGCAGGGAGACTGACGGGGCACAGCCCCTAACTATCCCCGAAATGTGCATTAAATGCAATGAAAATCCTTAACCTTAGCTATTAGAAATCTCTCTGTCTGTACTCACTCCGCGGTCTCTGATAGGATGGAGTTGCAAAGGGGCGAAAATTGGCTGGGGTTTTGGAGCGCTGTGAACCCCTCAAGGGGAGATGGGGGCAAGCATCAGATAACATTCTAAAGACCGGTGTTTTTAGATGCTTTCATGCACTATTAGCGGTGCGCTATAAGTGTACCAAAATGAAGTATAACAATTGTAGCTAAAATAAAGGAGAGAAAAAATAAGGCTAGAAGCATTTCCACTTTTTATTTACAATCATCATTCTCACTACTCCCGGTCAATTACTAAACTGTTGTTATCTTGTCACTGGAAAAGGAGCGACATTTTCATGAGTACTTCTCGCCAAGTCATGATTGCAGAGGTTTTTAGTCACACCCATGCACTCCATCTGCAAATACCCGAACAAGATAGGACGCTGTTCGCTTTTACCGCATAATTAGAATCTCTAAAATAGCAAGGGCGAGCGTATGGTTCAATTCAATAAATGGTCGAGTCCCTCCCTCTTAGAAAATTAAGCTATTGAATTATAAGTTATCATAAATTTTGCAACTTTGCATCTCAATTTGAACTTAGGTAAGCAATGTAGGTAACGAAAAGAAAAAAGTGTTAAATAATTAGGTCTTGACTCTGTCTCCGTTTTTGGGGGAGCGATGCAGTAAGACTGAGGTCTTACCTGGCTCATTTAGTATTATTTAGGGACGGCACAATTCGTTCTACCACTTCCCCCCGTCTGCTCTGGGACCTTGGTGTTGGCAGAGTCATGGTTTAAATTGCGCTTGGAATGGTGGGTCATGCTGTAGGGAAAAGGGGCATGATCTCATGGACCATAACCATTACCTTCAAAGTCTGCAGTAGCTAGAGCCACTTCTTAACATAACAAAGGTACTCTGGAATCAATAAAACCTTTATAGTGGCAGGGCATCGAATCTCTATGTGTAGGATCATAACATAGTAAATATAATAGTTATGTTAGATTATTCTATTAACTATGCTAATAATAAAAATGCTACGTTTTTATTAGCAGACGCAATGTGGGGTTTTCCGTCTAGCATCATAGTAGGAAAACAGCGCGTTGATTAACATTTGAAATCATAGCTGAGTAAGGTCACAGAATAGAAATGACTGTGACCTTACTCATTTCTATTCTGTGGTAAGGTTAATGGAAACGCGTGCGCAAAGAACGCGCTTTAGGGCACTTTAGCAACCCACATTTTGAAACGACACTGAAGAAAAGTGAAATGCTTATCTTAAAGCTTATGGGGAGATTTTGACAAGTTTCTTTGTAAATTTTTTGCGGGAGAAAATATGTCCCCTGGCTTCTACAGTGCTGCATGGTTTGTCAGCTTTCTGAATCTCCTTGGACAAATCGGAAGGAAGGATGCAGATTTCGTGTTCACATTTTCAGATTGGCAATAAGAATTACATTGACAAATATTGTCACGCAAACGATTAGAGTCACGCAAACATACATCCCTTTGGTGTCCTGTATATATTTTCCCAGGAGAAGTAAATTGTGACTTCCTTCACGCACGTTATACGCACAGAAAATTCACCTCGAGCAAAAACACAGGCCCTCCAAAAACACATGAGGTATAAATCTGAGTACCTAAATAAGCGTAAATACATAAAACCATGCACTACAGTGCAACTATAATTACACGGAGATATTCAGAAAATTCGTATTATTTCTTAATGGTGCAGATATGACGCCAGCTTTTTTAGCATTCTGTGCCAGGGCACCTCGGAAAGCAAAGTAATTTTGCCCATTTTAGATGTTTGCAAAGCCAGGTGCAAGCTTACGTTTGCCTTTCTGATCTCTGACTTAAACCCGATTCATATTAAGGTGTGAGAGCATTCGTGATGCCGTCAGGACGCTTTTCCAGTAATCTGCCTCATACCCCATAAAATTTCAAGTGAACCCCAGGTAAAGATATCATTGCAAGAAAATCATCTATAAGTGAAACTAATTCCTGTATAAACATGTTAAAAACGCATTATTCCTACACAAAAATTAAATAAAGGTGCTAAGTGCCCCGCAAGCACTACACAGGCATCGAATGCTGCCAAGTGCTTAGCCAGGTATTTTCTGGACCAATCTACAAAGACTTTTGACATCAGCTGATAAGGAGGCGTGGCTCAACAACCTATGTTTGCCTATTCATATCTGAAAGAATTCAGTACATCCTTTTTTGTAAGTTTTACCCAGCCTCGATATTCGTACAGAATTTTCTTTTTGAGCCTAAATTTATTCATAAAGTACTCTTCTTTAAAAAATTTCATATGGTTTTGGGGGTTAAAACCTTGCTGTAAAACCACACTTTTTGAAAAATGAGATATGTAAGATTTGCGATTCCCTTTTAAAGAACTGCAAAACAGGCAACTGCTGAAAAGTGAGACGCAAATATGCGAGCATAGGCTCAGAAATATTCTCAAAATTGCATGATTTTGAGCCTGAATATTTTTATAAACAAAATTCTTATAATAAAGAATGTGGGGAAAATGAAAAAAATTAATTCTAGAAATATTCCTTGAAACATTTCATAACAGGTTTTGACAAAGGTTTTGGTTAAGTTTAGGGGCATTAAGAAAAAAGTACCTGAAAAACAATAGAAAGATGAAGATATTGCTCACTTATTTTATCAACATTGCATTTCTACCTGGGCCTTCTCTGTGACAAAATTAAGAAAAAATTTAAAGAGACAACAAGATCATAACGCCAGGTGCCAGGCAGCGAAAAGAAGAATTCTCCGTTCTTTCTCTTTCTCGAATCTTTCTCAAAAATGGACTTCAAAATTGAAATTTTCATTTTTAAATTAGTATATACTGAAAAAAAATCATGTTGTTTGGATCGTCGCGAGTTACTTTGCTTTGAATATTTAGATATTTCTCTTTAGATTTCACTGCACCAATTCTATGATCCATTTTTGCTATTCAATTTGCTCTAGGCTATTCAATTTATCTTTAATAAATGAACTGTTTAGATCGCATAAACAATAAAGAAGGAAGTTTTAATAAAAAATCCTGTTTCTGTATTTAAACCCCCTGTTTTCCTTCTGGAAAATCTAGGTCATTAATTCTCCCTTTGTGGATTGCGAAACATGAAAATTGTTGTCAAACGACTGTAATTTGTGTGCTTATTGTAAAGCTAAAACCATCTTGGTTTTCCAGCTCGGTATTCATGTCAAACAAACAACAACAAAATTCGTTCTGGGTTTCTTATTTCTAGCATTATTCGCCTTTACCACTGGAATTAGCTCAGCAAATCTGTTTATCCGTAGCTTTCGGCCTTGTTTGTTTATCCAAACAATACAATTTCTCATAATCAGCCTAGGGCATTATATCCCTTCAGATTTGTAGCAGGAGAAAGGGCTCAACGAAGCGAGTTGTTTCTTCCTCTACCTAAGGAAATTTATAATTGCTTTAGTTGTCTGATATAGCTTCCTTTCATGAATTTCATTAGAATTTACAGGTTTACAATCAATACCTACAGAATGCAAAACAGATAACAATATCCCGTAAGACGATTTTTAGATGTCGCAAGAAAACAATAAAAAACGGGGTAGACGTCCAACAACTTAAAGATGTGGTGTCGCAACCCTCGCGCCACGGAACAATACAACAGTTATGTACCAAGAACAATAACCAATTGTTTCCTGTCTGGAAATCTTCTCTGCAATTTAGCATAGGCCAAATCTCAAGGGGCGTAGACTGTACATAGGCCTATAGGCAAACTCAGATGGCGAACTCACATTCAAAAAAGCAGGTGGCATGATTCTTGGCCTATAACCTTCTAAAAGCAAGCAAAGCATTTAACAAGTTTGTGTTTGAATGCTCAAAAGAAAATCTCCTGCATACCTGTTCACCCGTTGTATTTGTCAACGTTTTATTTCTCTTTGAATACCCTAATAGTGTCCTTACTTGCTGGTTTTGCGGGTAGACATTCATAAACAAAACTTGCTTATAGTTTAGCTTTACCTCAGTAAAGGTCAATTTTAGAGTAAGGGGAAAAGTCAAAAGTGAAAGGTTGATTTCGTAGCGACCTCCCACTCTTGATTCGCAAGGTTTGGGTAAAGAACAGAATGCTAGAAATGCGGGAAAGTAACTTAATATCTTAATACATACTTTCATTGCATCAAAACATGCGGTAACTTTGCCAGCTTCCACAATACAGTTTGCTGGAGGATGGGCATATGCACATTCACCTTCGGTTCTGGGACACTTGTGTGCTATGAAGTCTTGACAGACTTGCACTTGCAGCCACCTTGGATCCCTGACCTTTACCCTCTGTGGCCTTGGTGAGCTTTGCGGTGATGCAGTGCCATCACTATTCGAATCCCGTCCTTGTCCAATCGTCATTTCAAAAAGAACGCAATCGAGGGTCCTCGCACCACACAGTGGTAGTTCAATATACAGACGCCTATACAAATGCAGGTGAGTCTGAGTCTCTGATTGGGATGTCTCAGACCTTTTAAAGCACGCGTATCTGCGCATGTCGAGCAAAAGACAATAAACACAGCGTCCATAGAATAGCAGGTCACTTTCTTCTTGTTTTCTTTTCTATCCAAACACGGGGGTCATGTCTGTCTTATATTGCTGTAAGGAACATGGGTCAGTTGGAGCGAAAAATGCTTCTCGAAAAACTATCTAGCGAATAGGTGCATGACGAAATGCCATTAGCAAAATTTTCGTCAGGAATATTTTTGAACATTTAATTTTTACATAATTTTCATGAAACAGAGAGAAAAAGATTCAGAATGGTAAAAAAGTACTTTTGTTTTTAGGGCTGCACTCTTTTAGATTATGATATCGTTAGCTTTTGGTCCGAATTTCTAATATACATACATCTACATTTTAAGTAGGATAGAATAGGCCATGCCTGGCAACTGGCAACTAGTTTATTATTTGCAATCACCCTGGTTACATAAGTGAATGATCTTGAAAGGATTTAAAGTGGGGGTCAATTTTCCATCAAATTTTGGCCCTAATTTGCTTGTTTTCCATCTGTTGCTGAAAAGTCATGTTTTCCCCGGCTGCAAAATACTTTTGGATGTCTTTAGAAGGCGACTTGGCACAAGTGATCGTAAACATCGTTAAAATTGTCTTTAAAATAGTGTGGAAGTGCACGCAAAATGAGTAACCAACGACTATCTATGTCATTCGAATCATCTGGCAATGTCACATTATTTCATGTTCTGACGATGCGTCAACCTAATTTAGCGAAGATGTTATAGGAATGCGTGGCTTTCAAATTGATAAAGCCACAATGGCACATAAGCACAGGGTTTTGTCCACCAGTTGCCAATAGAGTCTCTAATTGGATGTTATGTGTGCCAAACCTTAAAATATTATATTCATTAATATTCATTAGTTGATAACAAATTGAGTTCACCTCTTTTGAAATTTTTGTGTTTTTATAAATAAAAAAATATTGAGAAACACCAGACTTACAAACATGGCTTTCGATTTTAAGGGGTTACTTTGATAATTGAGAGTTCTGTGGGAGGAAACGTTCAATACTTAGGTTTAGCGTTAAGCGAAAAAGTCAATGGTCGAAAGCGCTAGCTTTCCCAAAAGCACGATTTGTTTTTTGCAATTAAATGAAAACAAAAACTCCATCATGATGAAGACTGAACGCGAAAACGTTTTCAATTTAAAATTTTTTTTAACTATGAAAGAAAAATAAAAAATTAAGGCATCTAACTTATTTACGCCTTGTTTACCAAAACCTCCTTCCCCTCCGGAGACCCTATTTGTAATCGAATCTCTTCACTCTGCATTTTCACTCAAATGTGCTCGGACATTAGAACGCTGAAAACGAAAACAGCGTTCTAAGAAAACCACAAATCAATAATTTTTATATTTTCAGATTCCTGATCCCAATGCGAAAATTGATAAAGTAGCGTTTATATGAAGGTTTTAAATATCCTCTTTGTTTGGCATTTATTTTGTTTACAGATGGTAGTCTTTCTCTCTTTGATATCCTGATCAAGATCGAGTCATGTCAAGATCATTTGACAAGAACATGGCTCGAATGATTTCTACGTCGTTGCTATGGAAATAACGAAATGCAACAACAGCCACAATATGGTTAAGTCAGGCCTAAGTTGAATTTCCGTACGAGGGGAAATTATGAATGACTTCGATAGCTGGGACAAAGTTTTCGACAAAAGGTATTTATAGATTTTTTCTACTTTCGCAGCAAATTTTTCACCAAAATAAGTGACTTCTCTCCAGCCCGGATAAGCCTAGTCTTATTATGACTTCCGTCATCAAGATCGAACTAAAATAAAATTGCATCTGCTCCACAAAAAAATATCTGATTACCAAATATTTGTCGTAGATCCTTTGACCAAAGAGTTTGCTTTTCTTAAAATCTTCATACGATACAAAATGTAGCAGTCCCAAATCATTTGTTTACAACATTTGCAAATTCAAAAGTCGTTTTTTAACACAGTGCTGGACAGAGGACCTCTTTGTTCCTCGATTAGTTTAGCTCTTGAGCTCCTCCTGCAGAAATTCCTCTTTTAGTCTTTATAGATTGCTGTAATTGTAATGATTTTAGCTTTTTAAAGGACCTTTGTATGAAGTTGGATTTCAAAATGTAATTCTACTGAACATGGGCGCGGCTCCAGCCCCCCGCACCTTTTTGCAAAAAAGTGTTTTTAAAAGAATAAAAAGAATAGGAAAAAAATAGAATATCGCGATAAAGCCTTTTACAGTATTGCTTTATTTTAAAGGAATAAGCTGGGGTCTATGGTGCACCATAAAGTATTCAATTTCATTTTAAGACTGGAATTAATCAAACGTAAAAAACCATGCCTTAAAGATAGCAAAATATTTGCAAGAAAGGACCGCAAGGAGTATTCTGAAATGTATTTTTAGCTTGACTAGAGGGCGTGATTGCAAAAATTGTTTGCTCTCTTCGCTTGCAAGGAAGCCTCCACTTTGGATATACCTAACGCCCCTGACAACCTCTCGCCCACCTTCCGATTTACTGCTGCCAGCATAACGAGTGCCCCCATAAAATCATAGGCATAAAATATCGTGAAGCATTTAAGTGCATTTTTCAAAAGTTGGTTTTTTAGTCTAATAGTGTTATCAACTAGAGCCCCCTTACTTTGAATTTCTTGGCGCCGCCCCTGCTTAACAGTTTCTGGACCATCATTAGCATAGGCAATCAAAAGGGGGGAGGGGGAAATGTAAGGTGAAGTGTTGAAAAGAAGATGTGCAACAAACTTCATTTTGAAGAAAATAGATTGTCTTAGGTAAGTTCTACCATGGCATATATCCTTACAAACTTCTAGCTGCCTCCTTTCAAAGGTAATATGACACAAGCTTTCTGGTTTTATTTTATGCAATGCAATGGTGCTAGTGTGTTGATAAGATACTCTCTACCCACAGAAACTAGGCCAAAATAGCCTTGCCTAGGCCCAGATTTCCTAGGTGCAAACTAGCCTGGTTTGCTCTAAAGTAATGTTCAGTGCAAATGGATTGTGTAAGAGCATCAATGCAAATGATTGCACATTCCACTCCCACATAAACTATTGATACAAAGTTATTTCAAGGTAAAAAAAATTGAAATTAAAGAATTTTGTTTCCAGGTTCATGAGAAAACATAGGCTAACGCTAGTTAGTTTTCATGAAATAATTTTCAACGAGCGCTTCCACAATGAGATAATTTTCAGACCATTCTAAGATCACATAATTTCCTCAAATTAACTCACATCTCACATCAACTCATGGTGGAAACCAAGCTTCATAAATGAGAATATTCAACAGTTTTGTTGTGTTTACATATGCTTTTTTCTTATCTGGTATACCCCAATGATAAGGTGGGGGATCATAAGGAAGGGAAACAGGTACTGAAATTGCCAAAAAATGAACTTGACCTCTCTTCTCTAATTAGGCATTACTGAGCTGTCACTTTTCATGGTTTTAATTTTTTTTTTGTATTGCATGTTTTTGCAGCAAAGCATCAAAAGTTCCAGAAAAAGTGAGTACCTCTAATTTATAAAAAGGTGCAGTATAAATGTTTGAAAAAGGTTTAAGCATCACATTTTTTCAAAAAACCATTCAGATTTTGATATCCCCCCTCATACCTTTTAGTATACCAAAGGATTTTGCAATTGTTGTGTGCCATACCAAGACTCTAATGTGCAATTCTCCTGCAAAAGACTCACTGTGTATTGTTCTTGGATGCCACTGCTTTTCTTTTTTTTTGAGACATAGGGAATCTTGAGCTTTCTAAGTGTGGTATCCTTGGCCATCAACAGAGATAAGCATTCAGTGGTTGGGCAAGCATAGTAAGTTGCTTGAGGGGCCATTTATCTTCTATTTTCACTACGAACATTTTGATTTGATTTTTGGGGTAAATTTTTGCTTTATGTCATGTCAAATTGGGTGACGAGGGCAGTGTCCCCCTAGCCCCTCCATTATTCTTTTACTTGTTAGCAGATCAGTAGAACAACTGAATGCTCATTTTGATAAATATATATCCAAATGCTTGATAACAATCTACACACTAATGATTTCGTTTTTCCTTTGAGATTTCTTATAATTGATATCTTTTATGAAACAGTTTCCAGGTGACATCATTAACCCAGCACTTCAACTTGAAGATGTTCTTGAAGAAGTAACTGACGAAATCAATGAAAAAGGTAAAATCTTCAATTTGTTACCTTCATTTCGTTTTCTAACAATGGGGGCAATGGGGGCTAATGTGCCCTCAACGCTGGCCTTTTGTAGGATATCCATGAGATTCATATGAAATCCTGACTGTAGTGTCTCATCTTTGACAACATTTCTTGAAACTTGTCAAGAAATTTCTTATGCCAAAATCTAGCAGATTTTTAAGATACTGACAGAAGATTGAAAGAAATTGACAGTTACGAAAGAATTGTTGGTAGCTGAGAATTAATTTTTCAAATGCTCTTTTTCTCAAGCCCACCTCTTGCCCCTTGGTCGTTCCGGCGTCCCTGCAGTGAACTGAATGAGAAATAATATAATGGGCAGCCCCCACCCCCCATCCAATATGAATTTCGTTCCGATGGCATTGTAACTAAGGATGCAATATAATCTTAAGTTGGTCGGTAAAATAACCTAAAGACAAGTGTAAAATAGGGACTGAGTTGTTTTCATCTAGGGTATCTCTTCCTCGGTAACTTTTACTTCAATAACCATCACCCCTTTGTCTAGAAGGGCAATGTACACCACTGTTTGCAGTGTTTCAAGCATCTTCTTTAGATATTGAAAAATTGGCTTGAAAACGAGCTACTACCTTTATTTGAAGATTTGTGCCCACAAAAGAGCCTCAGCATCGGTCTTTTACCAAGAATCTATCTAAACTGAACGTCTTAATGCTTGCTCTATGACGTACGTAGTTTGTTACTTCCACAAAAGAGCGCAACTGCAAACCTAGCTTGATAACAAGTAGGCCTTTAAGGGTCACTGCTACTAATCTGTGTCAAAAAACAATAGCAATATGTAACGCTATTTTATTGTATTGTATTGTATTGTATTGTATTGTATTGTATTGTATTCTATTGTATTGTATTCTATTGTATTGTATTCTATTGTATTTAATGTTAGTTTTTACTATAGTGAATATACACTAATTAAGACTAACATGAAGCAATTTCAAGGATTCATAAGACAGTTCATTTACTGCAAAACGAGCATGCGCACGTGTTTTCAAGGAAGCAAGTTTTGATCAAGTTCTTAAATTGTCTAGTATTTTGTGCTGTCTTTATTGATTACGGGAGTGAATTTCAGAGTTCTGGCTTTTGGAATGTCAAGAGGGTTTTGCAGTCGAAGGCTATGACCTGTTGTTTTGGGTACAAAATAGTCTTTCATGAAAACAGGATTAAGGTTGTTAAGTGTTTTATAAACTTCGAGCGCCAAGCATTATTAACGTTTTTCTCTATTCTAATTGCAAATTCTTGGTCAATTTCAAACTCATTTATGCATTTATCTTTGCTGCCGATTGTGATAGATTGAAATTTAGAGGGATTTGCAATCATTTCATTAGATTTAAACCAATCAAGACATTTTTTTATGTTAATTTTTACAAGTTGCAAAAGTTCATCGGTATTTGTTGCAGTGACAGATATCGTGTTGTTATCAGCAAAATTACATAAAGACCCTTCAGTAAGGCTGTAAAAAATATCACTTAGGAAAATATTGAAAAGTAGAGGTCCAAGTATTGATCCCTGTGGCACTCCTTGTCCAAGTTTACCTCAGGAGCTGTAATGACCTTTCATGTTGACTCTTTGCTTTCTATTAGACAGGTAGTTTTGTATAAGTAAAAGAGGATTTCTATCTACACCATAGGCATGTAGTTTTGCTCAAAGTAGGTTTTTTGGTAGACAGTCAAAGGCTTTTGACAAATCCGTAAGGACAGCGCCAATATGTTTGTTCCTTTCCAGTTCTGTTTTCCAGTCTTCAATAAGTCTAAAAAGAGCATGCTGTGAAGAAAACTGTTTTCTATATGCGCATAAGAATTTCGAAAATTTTTCTTCAAGAAATGGAGAAAGTTGAAGCTCTATTGCTTTTTCAAATACCTTTGAAAGTGTCGTTAGTAGAATTATTGGTCTATAATTTTCCTTATTGAAAGAATATTTTTTCTTATAGACAGGTGAGGCTATAGCCTTTTTTAAGAAGTTTGGAAAAGTTCCTTGAATAATGCATTTATTTATGGTGTTCAAGAGGGGTTATAGGATGATATTGACTGAGATCTCTAGGAACTTTGAATTTATCATATCTTGCCCGTGTGCCTTTTGGTGATTTAGCTTCACAATTATTTGTCTTAGGCTTTCTTTGGTGATCAGTTTAAAGCTTAAGGTTGAGTTATTTGATAGGAAGTTGTAGATTGTTTTTATGCTTGAATGCTCTTTAAAGTATCCTATCATTTCAGTTATTGTTAAATTCTCAGTCCGTCCTTTATGGATTGAACTTGTAGTTTGACCAATGCTAAGAAAATGGGTATTCAGAATCTCAGCAACTGTCTGTGGATCACTAATAAGACAATCATTCTCAGAAATTGTGATTTCTGAATCGCCTTGACCTTCAGTGAAAATATGTGATTTCAATTTTTTCGAAAATGTTTCTGAATCTGGCATGCCTTCTTGACAGATTTTTGTAAAGTAATTAAACTTAACACGTTGACGAAGATTTGCACAATGATTTCGCTGTTCTTTATACTTTTGAGAATTTTCTTTAGTTCTATATTTATTATAAATATTTGTGTGCGTATCATTATTGCTTTTTGATGAATTTTGGTAAGACGCTTACTGTTTGCTCGAACTATTTTGGATTTAGGAGGGGCGTGTTTGTTAACAATGCTACTAAAATATCTTGAAAACTATTGAATGCTTGATTACCATCTTGTTCATATTCACAAAGATTAAAAGGTGCTGCCAGCAAATCTTGGCAGAAACCTTCCTCTGTGAATTTGCTTAAATCTCGGTAATGTTGGATTTTAGGGTGGAGTTAAGACAGAAATGATTTCAATGTAGTTAGAATTAATTTGTATAAAGCTATAATTTATAGAAGTTCTAAAAAGCCTTGAAACAGCGTGAACGTGAGTGAACTATTAAAAACATGGTCCTGTTTTTCGGGTGCTCCTTTTAATCCCCTTTTGGTCAAGGACCCTTGAAAAATATGAAACACTTCATTCGGGGGGCTTGGGGCAGCTTTTGGTCAGTTTGCATCAAAGTTTTAGCAAAATTGTCTGGGAACAGCAAGATTTTTGGTCGGTTTGGCCATGAATTTTGACGTGGCGAAAAAAGAAAACTTATGCATAAGCACCCAGATTTAAACTTGGTTTTTTGCGATGATCAATAGTGGTTTCTTCAAAGTCACAGTTTTTGTGGTAACTACAAGGTTTAAAAAATCAACTGAGTGATTTTATCGTCAACCAGAGCGCCACATTATTGTCTGGCCCTGTATTTGCTAGTGGGATACTAAGCTTGGAGTGTCACATTCACTCTCCGCAGCAACTACAGAACTGCGAAAACTTTTGTTTAGAGAGCATTGAATAAGAAATAGCATTGGATAAGAAATAGCGAAGCCCTGGCAGTATGGGGCTATGACACGCGACGCTTAATATTCTTGATCCCCATACCTGCAGATTCAGGAACAAACCCAAGTAAAATCGGTGGTGATGCAGTGTTTGATTAAGACACAAAAGTGTGTTAACTAATAACATCGTTTGCCGCTTTATTCCTTTTACTTAATAGATATGTAAATATATATTTGAAAAAAGCAAACATTTTACAACATACTAAAAGCTTTTCGTCTGACACTCCTCAGAGCATATACGTCAGAATCAGGGTCCGAAAGAACACGATGAAAAATATATACCCAAGTAAAGCTTTTTCATCGTGTTCTTTCGGACCCTGATTCTGACGTTTTATGCTCTGAGGAGTGTCAGACGAAAAGCTTTTAGTATGTTGTAAAATGTTTGCTTTTTTCAAAGCCATTTTCAAATTCTGTACCGCAAAAAAATTGTTCAAATATATATTTACAAATTCTCTCACCTTTATAAAGCTTTATGTTACTATATGTTTAAAGTCCCCGTCTCTTTCATGACCCTTGCCTTTCCACAAGCCCAGAATAAGTTCTCGACTTTTTACGTAGATGCCAGATGCAATTGAAGGCTTCAGGTTGTGATCTGATTGAATTTTAATGTTTGCAAGCTAGGATCTTGAGAATAATTCAAACGATTAAATGAAAGAAAAATCCTGATTCACAATCATTGTTTCAATTTAGAGAAGTTGTGCCCACACTGTAGGCAGGTGCCCTTTTGTGTGCTAGTTCTTACGTAGGGTATGTGGGCAGTCCTTTTATGATCTCTTTGATAAGAGAATCAAATTTCCTACAGTTTTACGTTGATTCAAGCAGACTTCAAGTGCTGTTACGAAATGTTTAGACACACCCTGCCACATGGCACGATATAACAATGCAACAAGAATCAGATGGTATCCTATTGGCTAATAGTTATTCTCTACTTTACTGCGAAAGGCTGAAACTTGATACTGTGGAATTTAAAAGGCGTCTCTAGCATTTCTGTCCCTGCTGCTAGACTTCAACCCAGGGCCTATTATATGGAAATTTTCCAAGACCACACTTTAAGAAAAGAAGGCTGCATATGAAGCATGGAATTTCAAAGTATCGACCGTTGCCGTAGAAAGCGTTTTTCTTTATTCGTGTAAAACAAAAAATACTCAACATTACACGATTACAAATATGTTTCTATTATAGCCTATTCTTTATGGACTCCGACGGTAACAGTAGTTAAAGGTTAACATTGCTAGAAGCTCTATATATAATTCATACTTATTTTAATATTGAAGGACACGCCAAAAAATTTAAAACGCGGGGGGTTCTAATAAGAGCAGGGGGCTATAAGATTTTTGAAAAATTAATAATGGGGGGAGTCCAGTTATTGGGGGCCTTAGAGTAGGCTGACCAGTTTAAATTATTTCAGGTTTCAGAAATCAACTTGGTGGCTGTTTGGCCGCCATTTTTGTTACTGTCGCTAGATTGGCTTTTACACCATTTGAGAGCAAAAAGCTGATTGTCTGTAACATTTTTCGCTCTTGTTGAGCGAAAGACCCATTCCACAATTTTGAATTTCCAAGACCACATTTTGGATTTCCAAGACCACAAAATGTGGGAAAAACCGCACTAAAATAGGCCCTGCTTCAACCAATAACCACGATATGTTTTCCAAAGCAAATAAAGACATTGTTTGTTGAAAAATGGTATCATCAAAAACCTCTTTGCCTCTTTCTGTTGTTTTGTTGCAAGCTTGTTAATTGTCTCTCAAAGTTGCATGCTATATCAATGTGAATGCCTATTGTTTGTTTAACAGAGTAGACGCCTTACAAACATTATTTTGAATTTGTGAACTTTTATCATCAAGTCTTCAAAAAGACCGTAATATAACTCTTAAACAATCTATTAAATGTTTTTCAAAGTGGCTGAAAAATGGCAAGTAAAAGATCTTGAATAGTTTAACAAATTTCTGTTATGTTAGCTTGGTTCATAAGGTTTAAAACCAAACGCTACAGTGATTTGATGGGGAGTTAAATAGGCTCATCTTGCTGTTTATCAGTCCACTGCTTTCTAGTAAGTTACATTCCACTGCTTTCTTGCAGGCTCTCGCACGTAGGACTTTTTCATAATTTAAGTTGAGAGTAAATGGTTAAAATCCAAAACTCTCAATATGTATTTATATGACGTTATCACTTTCCACTCTGTGTCAGAGCCCGCGAATTTTAAAGTGGGGGGGGGGCAAGGCTAAAAAAGTAGGGGGCCAAGGCTTCTTACCCCTTATACTACTGCTTTAAAACTATGAAACTACTTATTTCGCAAAAAAGTGGGGGCCATGGCCACCCTGGCCCCCGGTGGAGCTGGCCCTGTATGTACGTTGTATTTTCATAAAAATTTTCAGAGCGTTGAGCCCCTTATTTGTAATTTAAGAATATTGAATGTATTTTCATGGACAACGCCGTCTTAGCACGTTTTATCGCAATCTGTAAACAAAATCTGACCTTTTCCTATAAACGCTTAATCAAAAAAGCAAAGTGATATTACTTTGACGACAGAGATTTTCTAAACCCTTTCTAAAGCTTTTCTAAAGCGCTGTTTTGCACTTCTATGTTTGTGAAGAAAAACGTTTTTGCTGGTTTTATCAATTAATGGCATTACCTGTTTTTTTATTGACAAGCTGGTGACTCCGTTAATCATATTAAAGATTTTTGAAATTTCTAAATCATTTTGATCAATTTTATAATTGATGCCTACGTGCATATAAGTCCTTCTACGGATAAAGATATATTGCACTCTTTCAAGTTTAAAACATTGCAGAGGCTAACAAAGAAAGATATACCCGTTGAAGAACTATGTGAACACCAACCTTTTTATATAAAAAAACTTCCTTCATGAAACTTCCCAAAGTGCTGGAGCTTATGAAAGATTTTTGAAATTTCTAAATCATTTTGATCAATTTTATAATTGATGCCTACGTGCATATAAGTCCTTCTACGGATAAAGATATATTGCACTCTTTCAAGTTTAAAACATTGCAGAGGCTAACAAAGAAAGATATACCCGTTGAAGAACTATGTGAACACCAACCTTTTTATATAAAAAAACTTCCTTCATGAAACTTCCCAAAGTGCTGGAGCTTATCAAGAAACTTCTTCAGTACGCAGTAGATTAAGACAGAGTTGAATTTTTAAAACTAAAATAACTAAAATAGCTATAATAACAATAATAATAACTAAAATTTAATTAATTGCAGAATTCTGAGATTTTGCGACTGTTCTTTGGTGTGATCGATGGTGAATAGAACTCTAGGTGCAGAAAATAAAAGTCATTCAGGCATCTCACAAAGTCTGAAACCCTAATTTCAAAAGTCTCACATCTTCAGTAGGGAATTGAAGTACTAGAATATTAAGAATATAAGCTTTTGCTCAGCATAAGAATTTACTTGAAGGTCCCCAAATTTCGTACAAAATGACATCGAAATTAAAAAATTCTTTAGAAACACTGAGTAGGCCTACTGATAATTGCCTCTTGTTTCGTTTCGTATTGAAAATTGGTGTATCTTCATCAATCCCTGTTGCCTGTAAAAAGTTGTGATGAAGAAGAAAACATTACATGGCACTAGGCTGGCGACTTAAACTTTAGAATATACGTTTTCTTGTCTCCTGAATTTGCTTAAAATATGTTATCACTACACCTTCCTAGACAAAGGGGGCTTGTGCCCAGGTGTCACCCGGCTGCAACTTCTCCGAATCTTACTGACCAACAGTACCTTATTTACGTTTCAGCCTCTATACGGACAAAATACTACCACAAGTTCAATGTTTTTGATAAATTGTTGTTTACAATGAGTCGCGAATATTTGTTTGGTGTTCATGTCTTTCCGTAACCACAAATGTGGCCCTTTCTTTATCTTCATAGTCTCAAGCTATTTATATCCTCAATTTGTTTTGATCCTTACCACCTAGTACCTGTTGTGAAACAGAATGGGGATGCATAGTATGGCATCATTAGGGGCGTCATCGGGAAAATATGACAAATTTTCCAACAAATTTCAGCAAAAACCCACGAGAAACAGTTATTTGCCGGTGAATGACAAATATTTAAAACTTTTTACCCAAATTTTCCGACAAACTCGATAAATTTTAAAACAAAAACTCCCATCGGCCATCATCACCAAAGCTTCGTAACACTGTAGACGGCAACTTTTGCTATGACAGAATTTGAATTCTTCAGAGTTTGAATTTGCATCAGAGAAAGTTGTTTTTACATAAAGCTCATGCCGAGAATTTTCTCAGTTCAGAAAGAAATGAACCTCCAAACATTTCTGTTGATTAACGTCCCTGTTTTCCCTTTTTCTTGTTATAGATCATTCCAGAATCGATAATCAACATGAACAGAGCGAGGTTACAGATAATGGGCAGCAACATAGAACAATAACAAACCAGGAAGCAACCAAGAAAGCAAGCGTACCATCGGTTGTAAGTGAGAAGCAGAATGGCGACCCCAAGCAAGTCTCTTTCTTCAAAAAACCTATGCTTTACGAAGCTGCTCCCAAAAAAGTTGAAAAGGCAAGATACAATATTTTGTTTTTTGCATGCTCTTAAGGATCTCAATTTTAAAATGGGTTACAACTATTTTGAATTTGCATGCAAATGCATATTCTAGCTTGCGTGTCGCACAATGTAATGTGACAATATGACTTGGTGAGATAATTTTAATATCTTCTTTGTACAATTTACCTAAATTTCAAGTTTGATAACCAAGGATTTATATTTCTCGTAGCTTGAACAGCGCAAAGGATTTTTTAGCATCGAAACTCAAGAAAAAAGCTCTGATTGGATAAAGGATAACGATGTTAAGGAGCCATCACATGCACAAGAATCCATTGGTGAAAAAAAGCCAGAGAGTGAGAAAAATCACAACAACATTGAGTCTCTCGAGTCGCTCACAACAACAATCGACAAACAAACAGTCAGTAACGATGTTAATAGGAATCACCAAATCGAAGGAAGGACATACGATGAGGAGAATAACCTTACTGAAGATAACCAGGAAGTTTACCTGACTGATGCCATCACAGGGAAGGGAATTACACTTGAAGAAGCTAAGGTAAAATCAATTGGTTAATTATTGTATTCAGTTCCGTTTTCCAAACTGGCAGCCTGTCAAATTTACACTTGCATACTGTTTTAACCTACCAGCTTTTATCTATTTGTGCTTAAAACAAATCCGTTTCCATTGCCCACTCCATTCATCTAGTCGCATTCTGTAATGCCAATTTATCTATAAAAATCATCATTCATTTTATTGTTTGTTTGTGGATAAAATACATTTAGCATCAATATTGACCACAAAATCATGATGAATTTGTTTTCGTTTGTTAACTCTATGCTAACAATATAACAAAAAGTAAGCAGGGCAATATAAATAAACAAAAAATGATCCAGAATTAAAGGAGAAAGATTCGCAGTATGAATGCTATTATTATTTTCTTATCATTAAACAGCGAGATCATTTTTAATCAATACTTGAAACGGCAGTAATTGATCTAAATAAATGCATGTATTAATTATGCACATTATCCATTAGCCTAAGTTCAAGACCCCAAACTTAAATTATTGGAGTCTGGGACTCAGGCTAATGATCCATATAAGTGATAAAGCAGATTTGAGGCAAAAACGAAGCACAGAGCAGATTATGACACACTAATTTAAATCATATATTCATATGTAACATATAACATATATGATCTTTATATGCCATATACTTTTTAACGTTTCCTCTTCATGTCAGAATATTTATCTTTTCTCAAAAAAGATTTTTCACTGTTTATTTTGTTCTCTGAATGCCTAGATGAGCAATATCAAAAGCAAGAATTAAACAATATCAAAAGCAAGAATTAAATAATTATTATACAATAGATATCTCTCAGCCTGTTATAATTGAATTTCTTGAAAATTTAGAATACTTTAATACGTTCAGAACAGTCACATCTTTTCAAATTTTATAAGCTATCGAGTTAAATTTATCGAGAAACGCCTTTGGATGTCAATGTTAGTTTACAGTTACTTTTTTGAAAAAGTTTGGCTTTCAATTGTTGTTGACAATTATTTCTGCAAGTCTTACATCGTTAGGCATCGTCTTTAACCGATCTGAATGTTGTTTATTGTTGCATACTCTGTTGTAAAACCTGCCAGGTGACAAGCTTTTATAGAGTTATCGCATGGAACTATCAATGGTAATGCAAAAGGAATGAGGATAATAACTAGAACATAACTGAATGAAGATTAAACAACTAGCAGTCAAACCTATATTAAAAGTGACCCTTACAAATACAAACCAAAAACATAACTTGTTCATAGTTATGAATTAAGTCGTATTTTCCCCCTAGAATTTGCGGTTCCTTCTCTTTGGAGATGTGACCACTACATTCAACGAGGACTGGACTAGAGTTCCCATACGTCTCGAGAAGGCAGGAAGCTATTCAATGGCCTTTCCAAAGGTAAGAACCCTTGAAGCAAACGTTTTTCCCCTTGATTTTATCAAATAGACATCCATTCCTCTTCCGAAAGAAGATTCTAATTGATATTTGTTTGTTATATTTCACACGTGGTTTGTCAAAACAAACATTTGAAATGATATGTGTACACGTTTGCATATGACATAATTACTTAATCACAAATCAATCACCTTATCTTCACTCTGTCCTTGCATAGTTTCATTTCACCTTGAGTTTTTGCTTCACATCTACTCATAAAATAAATAGTTTAACCGCTGAAATATTAATGGTTCATAAGTAATCGTGTCAGAATTCTCCATAAACAACATTTCCACTGCTTTAACGGTAATCAATGATATTTATCAGGAAAAATTTGATTTTATTACAGGGACCTACGGAGAAACTAATTTCATTCGTCCAGGCTTATGTCCTGAAGCATTTTTTATTCGACGAGAAACTGAGTGAAGCTGGCATAAGGTATTGCTAAATCTATTACAACTTCTTCTTCTTTGGAGTGATTTTTCTTTTATATATATCCAGTTGCATAACGAGAGAGGTAGAGGTGGAACGCTATTGTGCAACATATTACACACCCCATTTTCAGCTGTACCTCAGTATTAACCATTGAAGGTTTCAGTTAGAATGGTACCTTGATCGGTTGAAGCAACTCTTTCCTTCTCGAGATTTCTTTACTTCTTGTATGAAAGAGTGCTGCTAACAAGTACTTCATCCCGTATCCAGTATAGATAGATCACGCTTTGGTGTGTATAACACGACAATATTAAGTTGCTACTCTCAGCTTAGCGCTTATCGATATATTCAGGACTATTTTTCTGTACAAGGTTCGTTTTCCGACTTTTCTGTACCGTCCGTCGATCCCATGTATCTGGAGTATTCAATTATAAAATATCATTTAGATAATCAAATTATTGTTACCGTGTACGGAACTTATTATGGTTTTGCTGAACTTGCAAGGCGTAAGGATAGCTGGTATCACAAAGTATAACGAATTTTCACACAAATGATTCAAAAATATTGTTTTTTCTATCAGCTCAAAAAAGGATGGGGAATGTTACAAATATTGTCTGGTTTTGGCGATTGTGGACATGCTTTGGCAAGCTGGGATGCAGCAGAAAGCCGTCGTTTGCTTGTGAGTTGTCTCTTCTCGATCTTTCATTGATACATGAAGGACAAAGGAATGCTTCACCTTTCTCCCAACACAAATGTTTTTGTTAACAAAAATTCCTCAACATTAGATAGATAGCTGTTTGTATAGGGGTCTTAAATACATTTTTCAGGTATCATATGTCATTGACATTTTGTGTCGCTCAAAGCAGTATTGCAGTGTTCAATGCTAACTTTTAAGTAGTGAGCTAAAAAATGCACTCACTTGCCACAGCCCTTTCATTCTTAGCAACCTGGGCTTGAGATGATTCCCAATCATGATGGCAATAACATCACACTAGAGCAGATAGCTTAGTTTGATTTTGTTAATGTGATGCCAAATGATGAAGGTGAAAGCAAGGTAGCAGTGAAACCCAAGTCAGGAAAGATCGGTGAAATCCTACGTTAGATAAGAAAAGAAAAAGGGGGGCTAGTTCCCTAAAAATTTGCAAAATGTACTCAAAACCACACAAAAATTGCCTTGCTCTTGGTTTTTCGCGTTGTTAGCTCCCTCCAACAAAACGTTTTAGCCCCCTCAGTCTGATATATGCTCCGCGGTTCAAAGAGGAAGTTGCTAAGAAGGATGAATGAAAACCACATAGGAAGATGTGTTATATAAAAAGCAAGGTACATGTCATTTTGTTGAAGTTAACTACATTTATTGGGATATCCTTAGAGAACCACACTGCAATTGGCCCCTGTTCCATTATGTCGATGTGGGTTCAAAGAAGAAACCTTTTAATGACAATGGTATCTAGATTAATTTGCAGGGTTTTGTATCGAGAAATCAATATCTGAAAAATGAATATCTGAATGATTTGTTCTGTGGTCATCATTCGAGTGGACGCCATTTAACGATGATGAGACTTAACAAGTAATTGTGCAAAAATGCAAGGGTTTTTGACGTTTATGATAAAAGCATGTGGCAACATTCTTCATACATGAGAACATTAAAAAAGCAGATGTTTATATTCTTTAATTGACCTAGTTATTAACACTAAAATTATATTGCCTATTGCGTCTGGACAGATAACTTTTTCCTTTGGTTTTCTTAATGTGATATAAGCAGGTAATCATTTCAAAATTATCCATTCCTGTTAGATTGCATTTATCTAGGATATATATTACAAGGAAATCATTTAATTCATTTAATTGAAGTTAGAAACTAATTCATATCATTTTCCCTTTTCCAGACCAACCTGTTCCAAAGATGCTTTCAGCTCAATCGATTTAAAATTGGATGGTCTGATAGAAAGGGTATGCTTTATATTAAGAGACCCAGCTTAAATCATATGAACCCAGAGTACTTCTCAAACTGTAGGCTGTTTATCCAGGAAACAAGACAAAGCAGTTCTAACTTGCTATCATAAAAATGCTTCCTCACCTATTTACGTGCTATGAACAATGACTCAAGGGATTAGCTGAGGCCAGCCTCTTTTAAGTGGGGAGTTTGGTACTGGATTGAGACCGAGAGGCAAAAGTAGGCATCATCAGAAAGGCAACTTTTTACAACACTTTATGTCAGTAATAGAGACTGTTTTTTGAAAAGATAAGCATATCTCACTAGATAAAGATTTTCAATACATTGCGCTAGATAATTATGATCACACAGAATTATTCTTTCCTATCCTTTTCCTTTTACCCTTTTGGGAGTTCTCTCCGATCTTTTCAGCATCCCTTTTGACTTACCGTAAATAAATTGCCTAGACAATTTGTTTCAAATTACGTTATTAAGTTGTAGGAATTAGTCCCGTAAATTTATTTTTTGGACACACAATGCATATATAAATCGTTAAGCCAAAAGAAAGTTTTGATAAATAAAATGGACTGAATCCTTCTCTTCTTTTTTTCAAGATAGTTTTCCCAATATTCTCGAGCTATGATTGTGTTTTAGCTGCAGCTATATGAATTTCGCAAGAAAGAAGACCTTCAGACGTTTATTGAAAGGAATCTTAAGTTTGTAAGTCGCACTTGAATAAAATCTTATGAATTTTCTGCACAAAGGAAAACAAATATGTTGCATAAATTTGATTGTTTGTTGTGCTAAACTTTATGAAATATTTAGAGAAGCTTCCGGTCTATCAGTGAAAAGAAGATTTAGTCAAATTCAAATAATAAATTATGTTTACAATCGTTTGATAACTGTAGTTCTTCCTAACAACGATAGACCCTTTATCATTAAGGTTATGTGATCTATACGTCTCACAATTCAACCTTAAGCATTTAAATTTCACGTAATTGCAATCAGCACTTGAGCAGTAACAACAATTTATTCCTAAAGTCTTAGAGTTGTTAAACATGGACGATTCGCTGCTTCTATCTTCTAATCTTTGTTTTCTAATCTTCAGTTAGAGAGGGAACGACAACCAGGATGCATTTTGTTGATTTATTCTTTAATCATGTCAAGAACAGTAGAAGGGTAGGTGTTTAACTATGCATTTTTTAAGTCATTTTATTGTTTTGTTTGTGAATATTAGTGACTTTGAATTGTATCTAGTATCATTCCAAACTTCCTATCAATTTTAACAGCAAGAATGGATGTTAGTTGTTGGGTGGAGGGTTAGTCCGAGGACACAAGTGCTTATTTCCCCGTAATGGTATTTATAAGGTAAAAACGTTGGGAATGATATATTCCAGTACAAATTATTATCATGCTGATACAATTGAACTTAAATAATGATTATTGCTTCTACCCATCCAAATACACCTTTTCAACAAACCGCGTTAAAGTGAAATGGGTCGAGATTTGGGGTGATTATATATCGTGAGTCTGGTACCCAGGGTAAAGTAGCAGTAGTCGGACAGAAAATTTGATCAAACCATGGTTTTAGCCTTTTGAAAAAAACAGAAGAATTTGTCTTTTTCTCAAAGGAATAATTGGATTACCATTGATATCTGATCTTTTACTACGACTTTCTCATTTGCCAGGGTAAACGAGGACATTAATAGCACGTATAATTGTTTGGTACAACAAGGAACCTGCTCACAGGTTTGTTTTTTACATCGTTACTCAAACATCGGTTAATTCCATTGATAGGTCAGTCACAAAACACTTGCCAGTGACTTTTTATTAGGACCATTTCACATCTGCCTTTCTCCAAATGTTTCCTTATTTCATTTTTTCATCGGTTTTAGGCTCTTTCAAACCTGTTCCTTACTGGCAAAGCCGCCCCAAATGTTTTTAACAATAACAAAGAAATAAAGAATGAAATTGGAAAGGTTTGTAGTATCATTGTTTTGATGACTACCTTTGAACCAAAATTTTGTTTCAGATTTCACGGTTGGATGGGAGGGGGGGGGTTGGGGTGAAATTTTGCATTTATTTGTTAGACTTGATTGGAAATAAAAACAATCTACATTTTAACAGTTCTGTCATACTTCCTATTTCTTTTATTTTTCAACTGTTCTTTCATACAACCTTTCATGTTGCCACCTTAATAAAGTAAATGCCAATTAAATTGCGGGCTTAGGTCTCTAGCTTGGCCTTGAGCGTGTCTATATCTATATCTCGCTGCCGTTATGTGAAAGTTTCCTATGAATACAATCCTTTAGCGGCGCCAGAGAGGGGGGTCTGGGGGGGGCTTCATCATAAAGCTTTTTTAAGAAAAAAAAGAATAAAAGAAAAAGAAAGAAAATGAAAGTGCGATAAATCCAGTTATTGCTTTATTTCCAATAAACAACAGGTCTATGGGGCCTTATAAAGTAATTAATTCCATTTTAAGACTGGAATTAATCAAACGTAACGTTTTAAAAGCATGCCTTAGAAATAGCAAAATGTTTTGAATAATTGAAAGAAAATAACTGCAAGAAATATTCTGAAATGTATTTTAAGCTTATCTAAAGGTACCCTTGGTACCAGACTCACTATGTATATAAATGAATAGTGAGTCTGGTACCCAGGGTAATCTAAAGGGTATGGTCGCAAAAATTTTCTGCTGGCCTCGCTCGCAGAAAAGTCTCTTCTTTCCCATATACCTAGGACCTCCGACAACTTATCGCCGGCTAATCCAATGTACCATAAGCATAACGATTGCCCCATAAAATCATAGGCATAAAATATCGTGAAGCATTTAGTGCGTTTTTCAAATAATGCCTTTTTAGTCTAATAAAGCTATCAACTCGAGCCCCCTCCCCCCCTCACTTTGAATTTCTAGACGCCGCCCCTGCAATCATAGCTTCAGTTTAACCTTAGCTACCCACCGTGGTCTGTATCAAAAGGTCTTATTATGAATAAAGATTAACTTGCCTTCAAAATTGTTGATCCCATATGCTCTCCTTTCACCTTTCATGTATTCATATTGACATTTTCTTTCTCTTCAGACAGAAATCTGCCATGGAATATCCAAACGATGCGAAATCGGATTCTTATCTTACCAGGAAGTTGAAAATCCAAAAAATATTACGGTATCTTGAAGCTTTATCAGAAAAGCAACCATACTTTGTCAGAATTAATTTTTTTTCCAAGGCTTAGTTGTAACAATTGCAAACTGGTTACTCCATGCGAGAGAAATGATAGGGGTACATCATTATTGCATCTTGTCCTTATTTCTAAAAATTGTATCCAGTCTTAAATTAGAGCGGGTTTCTGACGAAACTTTCACGTCGCACAGATATGTGTCAGTAATGTCTCCTATGATATAAATCATTGCAAAGGTAACGGTTTTACGGGGAGTTGACTGATCATCTGAAAACTGATTTGTCAAAATACTCCCAGCGAGCTCTATGTAAATCAACCCTAAAATATCTGTTTTTCTTTCTATCTGCTATAAACTCATGGATATCAAACTTTAAGCAATATATAGAATCTCAGTTCGTTTACAAGAAAATAAACGTTTACAAGAAATTCCCCCAACTACATTATCTTGCAATGTTACAATTCTTACAAATTCTTTTCTCGTAAGTCATCCTTTCTCTTAGATATCAGATTCAGTTGAATTTAAACTCTGAAGACTTTGACTAATCTGCCTAGCCTTCAGATACGACACAACATTGACTGCCCCCCCCCCCCCACCAGGACAAATAGCTATTTTAATTCTAAAAAATGTCGCTTTTCGGCATTATCCGATTGATCAGCCCAAAGCACCTCATGCACTTTTGTCTACCATTTCCACGCACGACGAAGTCGGGAAATGGGGGGGGGGTGTTACCCCCTCACTTTTTTGCTGAAGTGTGATATTAATGTTGTGGGACCAAAACCAATGGTAGAAAAGCTACCATAAAAGCTTGGCAACTTGTCTAGAGAAGAAAACCCCCCTTCCCACCCTAAAATTTGTTCCGGACTCTCTGATTAAAGCTGTTTTGATTATACATACTCTGCCTGTCAAACAGTATCGAAAAAACCAAAAAATATCTGAAAAATGATGGCAAAAGAGAAAGTCGCCTATGCTGTCATGAACAAGGGAGCTTTCATCACGGTGGAGCTCTCAAACGTGAAGCTCTTCTACGTCCAACTTTAGTAAATAAAGAAAATTTATGAAAGCGTAATTAATGGAAATGCTCGTATCTCCTTGCTTGTAGGCCTCCAAGATAGGTTTTAATATACTTTCTTTTTTTGTAACATTGATTCGCATCATTAATTATTTTTAAAGGTTGGAAGTATGCTGAAGACTCCTGTTTTTCCTATTTGGGTGGTTTTTACAAGTGAAAAGGCTGGTGTTCTATACTGCAGAAAGAGACAGCTTTTGAGTGATTGGTTTGTATGAATGGTTTTTAGGTATACTGCAATACCCTGCGTGTATGTCGTTCGTCTTTCTCGTCTTACGCCCTGATATTAGGGGAAGGCGGCCTATTTGCGGAGTTCATACCCCCAAGTTCAATTTGAGTAACTTGAAAGTGAATATCGACACAAAGAATGTTTGTGTACAAACAATCGGAAAGACATGTGTTATCCGTGTGTCAACTTTAGGGATGTTATGTAGTAAAACACACCGCACAGCTGCCAGTTAATGGTTAAAACAAGCCAAAAATGTATCTTCCCGACATTTCAAGCCTTATATTAGGGTTGCGGTATATGCCTGCTTATACGCAGGTTTTACCGCATTACGTTTCGTTTTGCAGATAATGAAAAATGTCGAAACATTTATCCTAGTTCCCTTTCAAGTGAGACTTAGCTTTTCATTAACTGTCATCAATATCCGCAACTGTTAAAATAACAAGTCGCTTGTCGTAGGCCAGCAACTCATGCTGATGATAACCCTTCTATGCATGTAATGCCTATGATGACCAAATGTCAACGCATTTTTTGTCGATTTTATCTGGTACGGAGAAACATTTATTGCTAGCATATTATTTAGAAAAACAATTGATATAGGACGGAAAGGGCTCATCAGTGGAGGGGCGAAGCAATGGTTTTAAGTTTTAATTGGTAGGGCAGCATTAGAGGGTAGTTTACCGCTCAGTATTTGTGAACTGCCCTGGCACATGCAAGCAAATAAATTAGTTTTCGATGTTCATTGTGCTTGTCATCTGAGCTACAAGCTACTGTTCATAGGCAAAGGTGCATTCTCCCCATAGTTTCCCTCCAGGGCCATGCCATTGGAGAAATATTAGTATTTTAACCCCCCCCCCCCCCATTCACTTTTAATGGAATTAGCTTTGTTGAGACAAGGAGAGCTTGTTACACAATTTAGTATTGGATGCAGCAAATACAAAAACAAAATTTACCAAAAACTAAAATAAAATATCGAAGGTTGATGAAGGTATTTGACAAGACCGATTGTTGTCTGATATCTTCATGAGGGTAATGACAGATGACGAGGCATTCTTCCGTGTAGTGTAGATCAAATCTCCTCTCAAGCTTCCTTTGATAGCGAAAAAAGTCCAAACATTAGTTGTTGCTGTTGTAACTTATTCTAAATCGAAAATATAAATTTTAAGCTACACCAACCCCGTTACTTTGGTTAATTCCGATATTATAAAAATTACAAATTAAATTAACGAATTGTTTTATAGTTTTTAAATCACAAACTTACAATAAATCATTAATTTTGCATACGTTCCATGTACCAGGTTTGCCCCGTCCAGTTTTTAGTTAATCTTTTGATATTGGATCAGATTTTCTGCATATTTTTATTTTTCTGCGGGAAGCCATTCAAATTTGTGGTCCGGGGACCTAAGTCTGTTATGTACCGAAAGTTTGTTTGGTTTGGCCTGGGAGGTGCTGCAAGCTTGTGGACGGAGGTGTAGATCGTGAGTGATGAGGGTTTCTGTTGTTCAAAATATTTTCGATAGAGTCAGGATTTAACCTTTTACCAGTTTTTAAGAAATCGAATAGGCATGTGCGCTGTGTGAATCCATGAACTGTGCATTTTTGATTTCAAAGGCGATCTCTATAAGGCATTGATATCCATGGCTCAACGTAAGAAGTGTTGATTGCGTGTCGTTTCCGTGGGTCTGCTCTGGATATTTTTTTTTGATCTCTCCATAGATGTAGCCGAGGAGAAGACCACACTGAAGGGCAGTAGCTTAAATAGGAAAAACAAAGCTTTGGACAATACTTTTTCTCATCAAAGCCAATGGAAAGATTTAAGTCTTTTGAGCACATTTTTAGGCTGGGTTGCTGCCTTTTTAACAAAAGTCGGGATATGTGAATGTCAAAATCTAAGTTTGTGATGGATATGACGCCAGCACTTTACTGAAAACGGTTTCATAATTTATAGTGTTTTCCTGAATAGAAAGTATTCCAAGTGGTACAATTTTCATCCTTTCTGACGGGAAGAGCATGTCATTTGTCTGGAGTATCAATCATTTTCATTCTATTGAGGCCAGGTAAGGGCGATGCTTGCTTCTCTTTTCCACAGACGTTAATTAATTACGGCAGGTCTTGTTGAAAAATATGTTAAGTGTGTAATCTGCGGTGAATTCACTAAGAGAAGCCTTTTTAATGAAATAAAACAGGTCACTTAATGTAGAAAATAGAAAAGAATTCAGGGCCAAGGACTGATCCGATGCCGGTACCCTGTATAAAAAAGATGAAAATCACTGTAAGAATCATTTTATTCGAACTGCTTGAAAGCGCCTTTTTAACATAGGAGTAAATAAGGACTAGAGGAACTTTCATCAAAACATAAGCATGAAATTTTGCACATAAGAAGGTCATGCGGAAACAGTGGAAGGCCTTAATAAATCCATCAATCCATAGTATTTTAAACTTGCACGAGGAACCAAAGAAGATAGAAGTCTACAGAACAATCAACCTTTCTTTATTCTTTTGAAATAAGAGGTAGGAGGTGGTTCACAGAAGACTTTTGAAACCAAAAAGGCCTATTGTCCAATAGAGGGGCGTAACATTCAGGTACAATTTGAATTATATCATAACC